ACACATTTCTGAATCAAAGAATATTTTGTATTCATGAGCATTCATTTCTCCTGAATGAAAGACTTACATTTCGCATTTACAAACGTTAACGTATTTAGTGTGATCTCGCAAGATAATTGAATACTTCACCCAATAGGTTGTTAAAACAAAGGGGGTGAATACTTATCAATTTTTTATTTTTAATATAATTCTGAAGACCTCTAAATACTTTTATTTCATTTTAACATTATGGAGAATTACTTCTACAGGAGTGGAAAAAATCCCATTTAAATATGCTTTAATTTGACTTTGCAACACAGCAGAATGAAAAATAATTAATGGGGAGTGAATACTTTCTCAAGGCACTGTAAGTACAAGTATATAATTGGTATATAATTTCAAGAGGTGTTATTTTGCCTTAAGAAAAGGTGATTCTGGGGTGATCTAGTAAATGACTCCATCCCCCCAGATTATTTGTAGTTTTCTTGAAATGTATATGTCCTGTACCCTTAACATTTTCATGGGATTTTAACATCCATTAACATATTCAGCATAGCGTGGAACTTGATACATATATTATTTCCCAACTAATGTGGCAGCAAAATTACCACCTTGTAGCCTGACTTCATCAGATCTCTAGAGTTAAGCAAGTTTGGCCTGGTCATTACTGGGAGACCTCTTAGGAACACCAGGTTATGTGTGGTGTTGGCAGACCAGTAGGTGGCACTTTTCTGTTTGTGCCACAGTTTCCAAACCAATGCCCAGTATGTTGACCAGTGGACATTGTACTGGAGGACGTGATCCTTCGGGTGAGATCTTAAACCCAGGTCCAGATAACTTAGCCATTTAATATCCCATAACACTTTCTTAAAGAATCAGGGTTTTACCCTCAGTCCTGGCAGAGTTCCTGTTAACTGGCACAATCTGGCCTCCCTGATGTTTCTCTTTAATCGTGCAGCTGCAGAAAGGCTGCTGTGTGCTGCTCAGATTAGGGCTACATTTCAGTGGTGGACGAGGTGGGTTACCCCCTTTGTGAAGCCCTTTGGGATCAAAAAGGTAGCTATGTAGGTAGTTACTATAAATTATCTAGAGAATTTGCTATGCACTCATGTGAATTAAGGCAGTTTTCAGCAAACAGCATATACTTTTGTCAACCTACAAAGCAAAGTGACCGTGTGTGGTAGGAGAGAAGACACGAGGAGTCTGAGTGGCCTGAGCCTCATTACATCAGTATCTAGGGAGGCTTACTGGGCGAAGGGAGAGATTGTTGTGAAGAAGGGAATGTAAGCGCAACCTACTTACAGAAACCACCATTTGGATTAGGAATACACATGCGGGAAATGCTGTTTTTTTTTGTTGCCGTAACGATTACAATCATGTCATCCCATTATCTAAGGATTGACTTTCCTTGCTGTTTCCACATCCGCAGCCCACTGGCCTGCGGGTGTCCTGGGAGTGGGCACAGACATGCAGGAGTCTGTGGGGGCGGGCAGCTCCCTGCCTCTCCCTGGGTTCCCCACGGGCACCTGCAGGAGCTGCCAAGCTCGCCGGGCCTGAGTGCCAGCTCCTGTCCCTCTTCCCCACTGCTTCTGGCTGCTGAGCGTCATGTCCCACCCTTGAAACTTGGTTTAAAGGGACAGGGTCCGGGCTGGTCGTGCTGTGTGTAGATGTCCTGATCTGTATGTGTGTATGGGAAGTCATCCTCTCCTCAGACTTGTTTGTAGGCCATGTTCTCACAGAGGACAGACAGGAGCTCTTTTGGGAGGGTTTTCGGTGTGAAGCCGCGCCTGAGTTTGTTTTTTCTTTCCCATTTTCCCAGAGGCAGGTTCTGAGTGTTGTTTTATGTCCATGGCCTTCTCTGTTCTTCCTGTGTTTTTGTGTCTCTTTTATCTTTCTCGGCCTTCCTTCACTCCCTCTCCCAGCTGCCCGCTGTCTTTCTTCACCCTGTGATTTCCTGTACTTTTTCCCAAAGTTCTGTTCTGTTCTCTCTATCACTTCGCTGTTGAATGTTTTCTCCTCAGTGTCTTTGCAATTGCCTTTTTGTGAGGCCGGTCGGGAGTCTATATAAGAGCCTGAACTGGTTCTTCACTGGTGATTACAAATGGCCCATCTGTCTGTGGGCTGGGCGTTTAGGGGTCGTGTTCCTCCCACACAAGCAACTGGCTTCCCAGTGTGGCCATGCTTCCTCTTGCAGCGACAACATGGGCAAATCAAACTAGCCAACACAGCTGTTTCACGACTTGGGAGACTTAAGGAAGATTGGAGGTTAAATAGTTAATTCTTCCCTTACTGTTTGCCTTCTCTCTCTCCCTCTCCCTCTCTCCCCCTCCTCTTTCTTGCTCATGGACTCCTCTGTTTCTCCCCCCCCCCTCTATCCCCCTCTTCCTCTTCCCTCTTTCTCCTCTTTTCTCATTCTCTCTCTCCTCCCTCCCCCTCTGCTGTCTCTCGCCCTCCCTCCCTTCCTTCCATCTCTTCCCATCCCCCTCTCTAGCTCTCTCTCTCGCTCTTTCTATCCCCTCTCTCCCTCCCTCTCTCTCTGACCCCCTCCCTGTTTGTGCTCTCTTGCTCTCCCTCCCCCTTCTCTCCCTCCCTCTCTTCCTTCTTTTTTTTTTTTGCTGCATTCTCTCTTCATCCCTCCCCCTCTCCTCTCTCTCTCTCTGTCCTCCTGCTTGGGCTTCTATTTCCCCCCTCTCTCTCTCTCCCATGTCTGTCTCACTCCCTCTTCCTCTTTCCAAACTGCCCTCTCTGCCTCCCCCATTCCTTCTACTGGGTATTACGTGTGGGGCTCTTCTAGTTTTCCACATCTTTGTAATTTGAGGAAATTCTTCTTCTTTTCCCGCACTTGGAGGCTGAGGTGAGTGTTTTGAGTGTCACATGCTGAGAGGAGGTAGAGTGTGGCTGTAGGTGCCAGACAGGTTGTCCCCCATTCCGAAGCAGGTCAGTCGCCTCACACTTGTGTTGCGCTGTCGGTGTCCCTGTGAGTGCGAGGGGACAGAGTGAGTTTGTCTCTGTGTGCGCAAGAGTTTATTCCCATGTCTGTTCTTTGTGTGTGTGTGAGTGGTGGAGAGAGAGTGAGAGAGACTGTGTGCGTGTGTGTGCAGAGGCACAGTCAGCCCTGATAACACCAACAGTAGGAGGAGGATGAACCTCTAGGGCCACCTCCTCTCTCAACAGATATAAATAGGAGCAGGATTTTTTTTCTCCTCATTTGTCTTGAAGGATGAGATCCTTAAAACATCATGCAAGAGACAGTGTGGTAGGTTCCTGTTTTGGCTGTACTGCACAGTATTTACAGTGCTCTTTTGCTGGTAAGATTGGATGGCTACTAATTTTAAAGGGCCAGCACACATGCAGAAATCAGCATGAGGGGCGTAACTGATGAGGACAGCTTCACTCTCGCCCTTCTCCTTCTCCCACCCTGCGTTGTCTTTCACTCCCTCTCTTTCATTTAGCAACTGCTTTCCTCTGTCCCTCATTTTGCTTGTCTTTCATTTTGTCTGCTTCTTTCATTTTGTCGCTGTTTCTCTCTGCCTCTCCCCCGCCCTCTCCCTCTCTCTGTCTCTCCGTCTGTCCCCCCTCCCTCTTCCCCCTGCTCTCTCACTCACTGTCTCTCTCTCCTACTCCTGCTCTCTCCCTCACTGACTGCTGTAAAACCAGTAATTATAAATGACGTGGAGTACCGGGGCATCCAGGTTTCTCGCCTTCCTTTCTCCAGCAGGCTGCTGAGAGGAGACCGAAGCAGGGAAGGCGGCAGAGCCGTCAGTGTGCCATGTTTTTCCATTTTCTGTCCCCTCTGGGCTTGATCAGATAAAACGGGCGGTGGTGTGGCTTGATCACAGGCTTCCCATCCGATTTGGAGCTGGGCAGCGACCTGGAAGCAGCTGAGCACACTGCTGACCTGTCAGAGTGAGTGAAGGGAGTCAGAAATGAGGACTTGCACCAAGCTTGAATCCGAAGTTTTCTCATCCTGCAAGGCATTGTCATATTAAAGTTTAGAAACTGGTAATTTTGTAGTTGGAGGTGGGTGTTAATGTGCAGGATTAAGACGAGCAGCTGCGCTGTATCTATGCAAGGGGTCTCGCTCTGGGTCTGGAGTGGTGGTACAGCAGTTAAGTCATGGCGTGAATTACTGAGCTGGGCTTCACGATGTATCTCAAACTGTGTGGAAATGTACTGGGATGTTGTGTAGATTATGAATCGGATGAACAGCAACAGTGTTAGACTTAAGGGATAGCCTTCATGTGTTTTAAAAGCAAAACCTTGCTAAATGTGTTCCTGCTGGTATAGAGTCTGATACTTGCCCTGTGTGTCACTGTGGTGCTCCCACCTCACCAGTAGAGGTAATCATTGTTTAATGACACGGTAGCGAGGCTGTGTGCCTCAGTCTGGCTTGGCTGCCCCTTGCAGTGCAGGAAACTGTGGATTGCCTGAGGAAGTGGGTTTCCTGGTTGGACTCCAGTCCTGTTTGTATTTTTTATGTCCGTAAAGGAAGGAAGCTTGAGCACTAGCTGGGATCTGCCTTATCTCCTCTATCACATTTTCTCTGTTGGTCTCTGAGCAAGAGGCTGGAGTCTTGCAGACTTTGCAGCCTAAAACTACTACAGAGCCCTGCTTTATATTGTGGAATCATTTTGATATCTTTGAATTTTGTTTTCTGTGTGCTTTGGACTTTCAGGGTTTTCTCTGAAAGAATGACTAATTTGAACAAGCCCTCAAGAGGGGCAGGGACGCATCTAATGTCCGAAGAACTGTGAGATGAATAAAAATTGAAAATTGACATTCAGCAGCTCGTGGATATTTAATGACCTGAGGCTGTTTTGTTTGACCTGAAACACGGGTGGACAGTATATGAACTTCATAACTCTTTGCATTGCATCTGTCCAGCTCTGATGTCCGTTTGAGATGTCTGTGCAGAATTGCTCCTGCAATAATAGATCTGGTTTTACTTAAGCCACTGCTAAGCTGCTGCTCAAATGTAGCTGCGGGATCTGCTCATTCGGTTTCTTTCTGTGGTTTTCCAGGAGGAGGACAGTGGCAGACTGATTCGATGTTATTCTAAAGTCATGGAGCAGCTGGTGGACGCTGGAACGCAGACCGACCCCGTTGTGGTTCTGTCGCTGGCCCAGGCGGCCGTGCTGGGCCTCATCTCGCAGAACGAGGTGTTCGGGGCCACCATCGCGCCCAATGGCTTCTACACCGGCGAGCCCAAGGACGCCCTTCAGCCTGCGCCTGAGGAGGTGGACTACGAGTACGCTGACCAGCTCATCGGGGCCAACGGGGACTACCTCCACGAGCCCCTGGAGGAGGGAGCGCCCCAGAGCCCCGAGCCGCGGCGGCCCGGCCCGCGGGGCAAGGGGAAGAGAGCCAGGGCGGAGCTGGAGGCAGAGGAGCCCGCCGACGGGACGGCAGAGGCGCAGGTCAGGGGGGAAGCGGGGGCTCTGCCCTTGCCCGCCTGTGCCCACGGGCTGACCTGTCCGGGGGTGAGGCCGGGGGTGCAGCTCGTCGATCCCAGCATGTACCGGGTGACGGGCGTCCAGCGCAAGGAGGAGCACCCCAGCAACTGCTGCCCTGACTGCGAGAGGGAGGTGAAGAGCCAGCAGAGGGAGAAGGAGAAGGCGAACGAAGAGGCAGAGACGGCTCAGAGAGGAGACGAGGGAGGGGAGGGGGAAGAGGAGGACGAGGGGCAGGAAGACGAGGAAGGGGAGAATGGAGAGAACGGGGAGAGCCGGGGCAGGGCTGGTGGGGAGGCAGCCGGACACAGCCCCGAGCTGAGCCGCTACTTTGAGTCCAGCGAGGTGGGCTACGAGTCGGGGGAGACCGGGGGGCAGGACGGGGTGGACTTCGACGAGAACAGCCAGAACCTCAGCTGGCCCGAACAGGCGGACAGCGAGGGCAGCGGCCAGCAGGGGCGGCGCGTGCAGATCGACCGGCTGGACATCAACGTGCAGATCGACGAGTCCTACTGCGTGGACATGGGCGACGGGCTGAAGCGCTGGAAGTGCCGCATGTGCGAGAAGTCCTACACCTCCAAGTACAATCTGGTGACCCACATCCTGGGCCACAACGGCATCAAGCCCCACGAGTGCCCGCACTGCGGCAAGCTCTTCAAGCAGCCCAGCCACCTGCAGACGCACCTCCTCACCCATCAGGGCACGCGGCCGCACAAGTGCGACGTCTGCAAGAAAGCCTTCACCCAGACCAGCCACCTGAAGAGGCACATGCTGCAGCACACGGACGTCAAGCCCTACAGCTGCCGCTTCTGCGGCCGGGGCTTCGCCTACCCCAGCGAGCTCAAAGCCCACGAGACGAAGCACGAGAACGGGCGCTGCCACGTGTGCGTGGAGTGCGGCCTGGAGTTCCCCGCCCTCGGCCAGCTCAAGAGGCACCTGGCCTCCCACCAGGGCCCCACCACGTACCAGTGCTCCGAGTGCAACAAGTCCTTCCACTACCGCAGCCAGCTGCAGAACCACCTCATGAAGCACCAGAACATCCGGCCCTTTGTGTGCTCCGAGTGCGGCATGGAGTTCGCCCAGATCCACCACCTCAAGCAGCACTCGCTCACACACAAGGTACTGACACAGCAGACCCATGCTCACAAGGTACTGAAACCCCATTGCCCAATATTAAATCGGTACCCCCACACCTTCCCTGAGTGGTGTTTCTTTCTCGTAGATCAGCTAGCATTTCATAGACTCACAACTAAGGAGGCCAGGGCATTAGGCTTCTTTAACAGAGGTACCTCAGTCTACTTGAAAAAGGCTGTGAACTGCTATATAAAGAGCTCTTCTGCTTCCTCCCTCGCTAGCCAAATAAAGTCAAAACTGTGTCCTGTTGTTTGTATATTGTAGGTTTTGTTTTTCTGTGGCATGTAGAACAGCTCTGTGCACAAACCTGCAACCAGGATGCCCTGTTGCATTCAGTGTTTTAGTTCTGTTTGCAGTTTCTCTCGCCCTGCTGCAGCAGATTCACATCATCTTACAACCTCCCGTTTTAATTATCGAGCCAAAGAAAAGAAATCGTGCTAAACTGTGATAGAAAAAGGGAACAGCTCCACTGGGACTTGTAGAAATTTCTCTCTTGGGAACGCTCGTCTTCTGTCGCTGGTTATTCAGCTTTACTCCCCCTGGTGTCTTTCAAGCTCAGTGTAGCTGATAAACTCTGCTGGAGCCACACCTGCTGTTGGTCAGCACTGGGGTTTCCCATGCTGTCTAGCTGAAGGGCTGTGAATTTCATACAGTAAATGATTATGTAGCGGACACTGCTGCTTGTCCTTGTGCTTGCAGCTTGCTAACCATAGACCAGACGTTTTATACGTCTGTGAGAAGAAACAATGACATTGCCCTAAGTTAAGAGGTCCAACAGAAAAATGATTGAGACCACTCTTAAACCTTCATAGCTAAGGCTGCACAAAGTAACGCCTGTTGTGCTTTTGTTTGGTTTCTTGCCGACTTTTTTCTTTGTAGGGAGTGAAAGAATTCAAGTGCGACGTGTGCTCGCGGGAATTCACGCTGTCTGCCAACCTGAAGAGACACATGCTGATCCACGCCAGCATTCGTCCGTACCAGTGCCACGTGTGCTTCAAAACCTTCGTCCAGAAACAGACTCTCAAGACGCACATGATTGTCCACCTGCCCGTCAAGCCCTTCAAGTGCAAGGTGAGCAAGGGGGCGGGGCGCTCCACTTGTGTCGGTGTAAGAGCACGCTACGACTACCTGCAATGTTAAAAATCGTTTTAAAGTGTTAAGGCAAAAGAATAAAAGCGGCGGCCAATCCAGTGATTCTGCTCTCAGAAGTCCTTATGTCCGTTGGCGCATTTATGAGCTGCCTGTGTGCTGGATGGTTTAACAGGTGTGTGGGAAGTCTTTCAACCGAATGTACAACCTGCTTGGACACATGCACCTGCACGCGGGGAGCAAGCCCTTCAAGTGCCCTTACTGCTCCAGCAAGTTCAACCTGAAGGGAAACCTGAGCAGACACATGAAGGTCAAGCACGGCATCATGGACGTCTCTCTGGACGGTCAAGGTGAGGACAGCGGTCCCCTGCAGCAGTGCTGAAGAGAGGTGGGGTCTGCACACTGCGTCTGAAGAACAGCGCGTCTAGTTTTTATCATTGATAAAACACAAATTGCAGTTTTACAGAAGTAAAGGTCTCTGAATATGGGTTAATTTCCTGTTTTCCCTTAGGAGTAATTCCACTAGCCCTACCTGCTGTCAATCTTTGCATGTTACACAACTAATTCTCCAGAACGTGTTGGCTATATACTGCAATGTGTCGATTTTTAAAACCGAACTTAAAAGTAAAACTTCAGCTACGTCTCTAATAGCGCTCTTACCTTTCTTGCCAGGTCTAGAAATGCTTATTGGGAAAGGGTTGCAGAGTAATGCGGGCATCAGGCGCTGCTGTATCTGTCAGGAATGCAGGGGGCTGAGGAACACCAGAGTGTTGAACGCACGGGGCTAAACGATGCCTTCTGTCCCCCTTCCCTTGTTTAGATGCCCTTCCTGATGTGGAGAGCCAGGAGGACTACGAGGAGGAAAACTTTGACTTCAGTGTCCGAGAAAGCCACGGGAACAGCAACGCCGCTGCGCAGGACGTTGGTAAACTGTCCGACGAGTCCATGGGCTTTTACAGCTTTGGGAAGGAGGCGGACCGCTATCCTTTGGCTTGAATGAGAGACAAATTGAAACAATGGAAAGAACGGCAAACAGTGTTTACCACTTTGAAAGCTACAGTGCCCTTTACAGTCATGGGCTGCTACAGCCCCGTCCCAGAGCTGGAGTTCCTCTGTGCTGAAGGATGGCTCTGCTGGAAAAGCTCCCTTTCCTGCTTCTCATACTGGGAGCAGGAAGCCAGTGATTTGGGAAAGCTGACCTTTGACCTATTCCACTCATGTTTGGAAGAAGCTGAATCAAACGCAGATCCTGAAGAGTTCTGTGAATGAAGTCAAGAAAAGGCTGGCTCTTTCGATATGTTTAATCTCATTTAATCGCAGTGATGAAATTGACAAGTTCCAGTTAGATGTGAAAAGCAAACGCGATAGTGAATCGGGAAGGCAAACCGAATTTACCTGATCCAATCCTGGAATGTTGTAGAAAACACCTGTTGAAGATAACGAGTGGTACAGGTCGTGGTGTACTCCTGTATAGAAGCTCACATTAAACTGATGATGTACTGCTTTCATAGATCATTAGCATTGCATTAGATAGGACTCCATTGCACTACGAGAATGCTAATGGTTCCTGACACAAGATGTTCTAGTAGGCAGTGCAGCCCCGGTGTATCAGCATACCAAAGCTGTTGAAGTTTCTGCAGTTTGGACTGATGTTTGAATGTCTGAAATCTAATTGGAAAATGTGATGGCTGGTGATTATATCAGTCATGTCTCAAGCAAGGGGTGGCCAACAATACTGAAAGTATTTAACCTGTCAATGTTTTTTCTATATATATATATTTGTATGGTGCCTAGTTTATATAAAATGTATTTTTTTTAAACAAGTAACAAGTTCAGTTGGGAAAAAATGCTGCTTCAAATGGCCAAATTTACTGACAAGTAGGAAACATTGATACTTTTTTCCTGCATTTGAATGTGATTGATAGCTAGCAAAGATGTTTTGCTGTACTAAAGTGGCGATTTGTTTATTTAGCAGTGCAGTTTAAAAGCTGTTCTTTCTGTGTGCAATTCCTGATGCACCAAGCATGTGGACAGAACTTTAAGGGGCCAGTAATTAAAACAGGACTCCCCAAAGCTATTTCTCAGAGGTGAAAGGAGTGAAGTACCAGTAACTAAGTGGCACTAGTTCATCACTGTATTTTTTTATTTGCATTTACATGCATTACACAATCTTCATAGAGTGAGGCCGAGAAACCAGTTCGAAGATGTATACAGGAGTCTATGAAAAAATTGTGGATCTTTCTAAAAAAATTTAGAAAATCGTAGTTGACTAGTTCAAAAGGCCCTAAATAGTGTGACCCCTGAGAGGGCTCTTAATGCTTCATAATGGAAAAATCGTTCTCTGTGGGTAGTACAAACAGTATATCTCACAAGTTCATATTAAAATGGAAGATTAACACTTTGAACTCACTGTAGTTACTGTGTGGTTTTAAGTAGATGTTGCCTCGAGGGAGCAATTCCCAAGGTATCTGGGCAGCGATTCAGCACAGACATTAAGATGTTCTGACAGACCCCACTCTCAGACAAGGTGGTTGCAGGCATCTGAACACAATGAATCTCAAGAGGACTGGAGAGAAAAGTGCAGGAGCCTTTATAGCCGTTTTTTGTAACGCGGAAAGCACCAGGCTACTATGAAACGCAACCCTGCCTAACGCAGTGAAACCCTTTATATGCTCCAAACATGACTAATATCCTTGTGAGAGTGTGGAATCTAACTCCCTCACCAATAATTTAATTACCTAATAAACACCTAATGAGCCAATTTACATCAGAGGCCTTTGGTGGCCTTCAGTTGTAGGGCCATAGCCAGTAGAGTCCCTCCAAAGACTGGCCTGCCTGGGTTGTTTAAAAAGTGAGTTCTGGATAGCAGTGATTTAACACTGTACTGTATGTCTGTTAGTTGTTCATTTTGTGTTTCCTAGTATACCTCTGTACCCACCCTCAGGGCCTAACTGACTGTATTGCTCTTTCCTGGGGCCTCCATGGACCAAAGAATCCAACTACTACTGAAAAAACCAAAAACCTGTACAAGCTGAAGTTTGAGCACTACTGATGAGAGACATGCTTTCTGAGCCATGTCTTCCCAGGGAGGTTCCAGTCTGTATTATTACTCAGCCAACACATTAACATGTCACTAACTAGCTGTATTGAAAGGGTAGCAGTTATCACAGGGCACTGGCCCTCAATGTCTCACACTTTTTATTTGTTAGCAAAGTCTGAAATTAGTTTAACAAATACCAGTTTAATATCTTCAAACAATACATAACCACTGTAGAATTAATAAAGGACCCCCTGGCACCACCTGCTGTATGTTAGTGGGATGATGGGAGCAGAGCAGTGTCTTGTAGTTGATGTTCTTGAGCTCTGACTGCTGTGCAGTCTGGTCAACTGCAGTCAAGGACTTGGAGATGCTTCCAACCTCAATAGATGCAAGTATATGGCATCTCATGCTTTACAGGCAAAACCATTTGAAAAGATGCTTTTTCTTCAACACAACTTTGCTGTCTGGTTCCATTTTGAATACTTCCAGATTCCATGTAATCATTGTAGCTGCATTTTATTTTTTTTGGAGGGTTTGAGTTTGAAATGCCCAGGAAATGGACTGACACCAAAGTGTAACAGATTGCCTTCACGTCTGCCCCTCACTCCTGGTGCCAGCAGCATGGCAGCTACATTCTGAGGAGATAGCAGGGCCACAGCTCCCAGTGAACACAGAGACGGGAAGACGATGCACCAATTATTTTACTGCAAAACAGTCTGATCCGCTAATGAATAAGATGATGCACCCGTTTAAATCTTTCATTTACAGATCTGATCTTTTGGCTTTGGGATTTTTATTCTATTTTTAAAATGAAAAAGTATATTAGGTGCTTTGTGAACTCAACCCCTCTCTCTCTTTCCTAGCTGTCACATGCTTTAGTGTGATGGATTAAAACATTGAAATGGAACTGACCTGTGTTCAGGTGTATTGCATTGGTGTGACTATACTGTGGATAGAATATACTACTTGTAAAATGTTGTGTATCTGACAATATTGTAAATAATAAATTTATTTACCTTTAAATAACAGTGCCTCATAAGATTATTTACTTCATTTCATATAGCAACTCTTGATCATGGGTGGGGAAAGTTTTTTTTTTGTGTATGAAGACAAACATGGTTCTTGGTTCATCTTTCATGTGTAGAAAAGACAGACCCAGTAAGAACATGGGATCAAATCTTTTTTTCCCCCACACCCAATGAGTCGGAAGGCAAGAAAATAATTCAAGTTTTCCTACAACTGGAAGATGTACATTTTCCTTCCTAATCTTTGATGTCTTTAAAATCAGCTGACATATTTCTGCAAAGCTAGCGCTTGGGTTGGTTTATATGGTGCTACAGAGTACCAAAAATATTAAGACACTGAACAATACGATTCAAAACCACAAATTTACAACAAGGAGGTTTTATTAGTGATGTCTATTGCTTAAGATGGTCCTATGTCAAGTTCAGTCGTTCCACGTTATATAAATTAATTACAGTATCTGAAGCGTACTTCACATTACAGAAACAGGCCCTTGGCGGAGGGGAACGAAGAAAACTGACAGCAGCATACTGAGCAGCTGTATGCTGACTATACAGCTTGTAGACACCTCTATATTAAAAACTACTTTTTTCCCTTCGGGCAAAATGTGTATGGCAATATTCTGATATTTTTTAAGTTAAAAATGAGGTAAAAAAAATAACTTCATTGTCCAGCATGTAGTCCTCTTCTTGCTGTTTCTCACTTGCCCAGGGCCTTGTCCAGGTTTTTCTTGATGGCGTCGAGGAAGTCTGTAGTGTTGACGTAGTGCTCATTCAGCTTGCAGCTAAGGGACAGAGATGGGCTTGGGTCAGAACACCAGGGAGCACTGCAGATATCCTAACCCCCAGGGCAACTCGTCCGCGCTGCCACTGCACGACTGCCAGGCAAGGGTTCGATATAGATGCTAACGTCAGACTAGGGCTAGAAATGTCTGCTGCACAACCTGTACTTATTCGCTCGTACATCACAGTACATTAGTCATTACAGTGACTAGTGAGCAGGAAGGGCCACATCACGTCACAATTCGTGGGAACTCTCACTCACTCCCGAGGCCAGACCAGGGGTTTGTGACAACACGGCCACTTAAGTCACAATTTTGTGTTTAATTTTGGAATTTGTACAATTTTTCTATAACATCACTGAATTTATTTTGTTACCGAGATGTAAAAAACGGTCTGAGAAATTGGGACTGCAGTACCCCTTTAAAATAAAAATAAAAAGCATTTTTATTTTTGTGCACTTATACCTTCTGCACAACTTCAAGCCACCTCAGAGAGAAAGAGTTCTTATTCTGCAGATGAAAGAATTCTTTCTTTAACAAACTGCACTGGAAAGGTGACATTTTGTACAGCAGTGGGTTAAGACTTCCTTGTAGAGAAACTCACTTTGCAAGGCCATGGATACATCCTGCGAGGTCCTTGGTCATGACTCCGCTCTCCACTGTCTCGACACACACCCTCTCCAGTGTCTGGGAAAACCTGCACATGGGCCGAGAAACGGAGAGGGCTTAGCACAACACGCCTCCAAGCCCACGTGAAGCCACGCTGTGTCCGCAGGACAGACAGAGGGCGTATGCAAGTTCTTGTCGTGCTAATGAAACCAGTGTTCACAGTTCTACCACTCAAAACAAGAATGCATGCCCTTCCATGATAATGGAAATCATCCACGTCTATGACGATATGGCTCCCTGAAAGCAAGTGAGAGGCATAAAACTGCACGTTTTGAAAAAACATTTAATTGATTCAACACGTTTGGCTGCGAATATTAATTTAAAGCATTACACCAGAAATGGTAAACTGCATGGCAATAAGCTTGGTGTTACTCACCTTTAATAATCAGATGTAAACTCACAGATTAATAAAGAACTGCAGCATTTTAGTTTATTGTGCCGCTCACTGTGAAAGGATTTCACATTCTAGGACAGTAACAGCACATTCCCAGAAATGTAAAAATATTTTATTTGCTTTGATATTTGTATAAAATGAATTTGAGAGGTTTATGTTGTCTAACTGACACACCAAACTAACTGTCATCTAGGCTGGAGATCTAAAATTATTCTCAGAAAGATGCTAATTAACTTATTTATTTCTCTCATGGGCATCTGAAGCTTCTGACTGGCCATCCGAGCAGTGAAACATCGGTTATCGCCACAAGAGGCTGACTTTGATAAATGATGCTTGACTCTATTAAACAAACCCAACAGTGACATCACATGCTCCGGAACGCAGACGTAGCAGACCGAAGCTGGTGGCCAGCTTGAACTCCTGCTCTGCCTGGTCAAGAATACATGCTCTCCCTTGATGTTTCATCGCAGAGGCTACCAGGCACAAGTGACTACCAGTTTGTTTAATTGTAAAGCGCCTCAGGATAATGTATCGAGAAAGGCACTATATAAAAAAAATAATCATTAGTAGTATTAGTTGTAGCGTAAAACATATGCAGTAGAATTTAGGCTTCAGCCTGATACTACCCCTATCCCTGAGCCCTCTCAGGATCGCAGGCACAGACCCTGCCACTTACCTAATCAGGTCCTGGTTGCCATCGAGCTTGCCGCGGTGTTCCAGCCCCCTGGTCCAGGCGAAGATGCTGGCGATGGGGTTGGTGCTGGTCGGCCGGCCCTTGGGAGGAGAGGAATGGAAGAATGAGCTTCAGAGGAGACTATGGTCTGGTTCACATCACTGGGCAACTTGCTACTCCTCTCACACTGCGTCATGTCTAGTGTTATTTAACAACGGAAAGATCCTCAACTGCACATTATCAGGTGAAACATTAAATCAGTAGAAACAGTAGAAAGGAAGAGTCAAATCTCGCCTATGTTTTTACAAGCATTTTCCATTCAGCTTTTATTGCTACAGATCGTGTTTAATCAACTGGACGTGTACTGCAACTGCACAACTCCCTCACTAGAGGGCAGTGCTTCCCAACTACTGCTCAGACGGTTAGTTTACCAGAATTTTACAATACAACTGACGAAAGGGAGTTTTTTTTCCTAATATAAGACAGCTCAGAGAAGCGTGGTGCCCTGGATCCCGATCGGGCAACTTTAGTCTTCAGCAGAGGCCTGCGTCAGCCTCACCTTCTGGTGCTCGCGGTAGTGCCGGGTGACGGTGCCGTGGGCCGCCTCGGCCTCGATGGTCTTGCCGTCGGGACACACAAGCACCGAGGTCATCAGCCCCAGTGAGCCGAATCCTGTGTGAGAGAGTGTGCGGTCAGCAAAGACAGCCTCGTTCCCGAGCCCAACGCCAGGAATCTCCAGTCACACTCGGGCACACGGCGCCCGTTTCTGTTGCGCTGATGGTTTGGGGTGTTACTGCGTCACGGCACTTAGGTGCCCTGGCAGGTTTCTGCCATTCTCCGTCAGTTCTAAGACATGCACGATAAAGCGCAGGCGTCTGCAAAACCTGTCCGTCTCAGTCCCTGGTTTTCCGCAGTGTAATGCAGATCTCTCTAAGCCGTCCAAGCCCGTTTTTCCTGCATTTTTGCTTGGAGCAGGAGGACGCCGCCGAAGAGCAGCCAGTACGCAGACCCCCCACTCCACCCCCCGTCTCTCACCCTGCGCCAGGATGTCGGACTGCACGTCCCCGTCGTAGTTCTTGCAGGCCCAGACAAAGCCGCCCGAGGACTTCAGCACCTGGGCCACCATGTCGTCGATGAGCCGGTGCTCGTACCAGATCTTCAGCTTGTCAAACTCCGGCTTGTAGTTCCTGCAGAGTGGAGACACACGGCGCTCCGTATCAACCGAGGAAACACGAAATGCTTGGAATGGATCTCGGAAGAACAAAACGAATACATGCTGTACGCTAATTAAAAACTTGTATACACAAGATATAGACATTCTAGTCTTTTTTTATTTACCTAGCCGATTTTCACTCTTAATAGCTGGGCTCTTCTAAAGCACTGTTTAGATTTCTCTTTTCTCTCATCTTCACAGTCGAGGAATTAACGTCTCATTTTCATGTTTGTGAGTGTTAAGTGCACATAGTACAGGATAGTACTTAATGTTCAAGCATTCCCTTACAACTGTAACTACTGTACCGTAGTTAGAAGGAGTGTTATTGTTTTCCTGCCTGTCGGTTATGCATTAGCTAATGACTTTAAGCACGTTACACCCATAATTAACCAAGAATGTTACTGCTTTCAAACTTAGGTACTGCTCTGTGTTGTATTAAGGTGAGGTTTGGGTGTCTGAGGGAACATCTTTGAGTTGGGGGATTTAATTTCCAGGCCTTTTCACCTCACAAGCAGTTTTCGAAGAACGAACTGAGCTCGTATAAGGAAGGGTTACTGTACACAAAGGCAGACGAGGTGCTGAAGAGCAGAGAGGCAGCCCGCGGGGACTCTTACTTCTCGAAGATGTCCTGGAAGATGTCCTTGAATCTGCCGTCGTACGCCTTCAGGATGGTGTTCTTGGTGCTCATGTACAGAGGCCACTTCTTCTGGATGGCGTACTGGAAGCAGCTGTGGGCGAACCCGGTGATGGACTGCAGGGGGACAGGGGGCACAGGCGGAGCGCGAGGTGAGCGCAGGCTGGAGGGGGCTCCTGCCCGCCACGCTGCCCTACGGGTCGAGTCGCAGGCGCTGCCCGGGAGGGCGCGAGCTCAACGGGGAGACTGAACCGAAGCGGCCGCTCGGAGCAGCTCTCTGGCGCACTCGAGGTGTTCAGTCCCACCAGTGCTTCCCTCAAAACGGGCCTGCTGCTCGTTTCAAAGGGGAAAAAAAACCTTTCAAAGTGGAGCAAATGGCAGGGGAAAGGGTTAACGCCCCCGCACCAGAGGACCTGCTCGATTCTTCCCTGTGTTTAGACGTGCACTTCCTTTCGTCCAAAGTTCAACAGTGTCGTCATCCCACCCCCGATCACTCCGCCCCACAACCCCTGTGATTGACCTCAATTCAGTTGGCGCCTGTGCTGAAGTCTCAAGGTGTCTGCCGTCATTATCTGTGCCAATTACTACGCCCCAGCGGATGCCAAGATGAGGAGGCGCTTGCATCTGACTGGGAACGAGCTCCTACAGACACCTAGGGATTGTGCGTTACAAGCCCTTAATCTCATTACGCTTCGGAGGCCGGCTGCACCTAGATTCTGACACGGTGTGTAAAGTCCATATTCAAGCCTAGAAGCCCATGAGGCCATCAGGGCTGATCTCACTTTCTGGACAGTAAAGAAGACTGAGAGCATGTGGCTCTTCCCCAGGCAGGGTGGCACGCTTCACTACTCCACCGCAGGATTTACTTGTATACGGGTAGCCTAGGTCAGCGTCTCTCAACCCTTCCCATCCCACAGCATACTTACATAAACACAGGCATTTTGCAGGATTCCTCCCTCAAACACATACATCACTGGCCTGAGCAAATTATCGTTCATAAGTGTTTAATGTGAGCTGGCCAGAAAATGTACAGTCAACCTTATCCTGGCAGGGACTGAGGACGGTGTAACACAGATCTCAGGCCCAACGGCCCTCAGACATTCTGTTTTTGTGTTCTATGCCCTTCAGACCCTAACTCACGTCACACACGATCCCCATGTGACCAGTCTGAGCGCGGCCCCCCGTCTCCAGGGTCCACACCAAATGTGCAGTGCGACACCTCAGTAACTCCACAAAACCAGCACATACAGAACATCTTTCCACTAGAACTTTTTTCTCAAGTGTGATTTTTCCATTAGGCAGCATAATGCCTGAAGGCACACCAGTTGAGAGATGCTTGCCCGGAGCCACTGAGCAAAGTAACTCACACTTCTTTCTTCAGCTGAAACGTTGAGCTCTTGTGTAAAGCACCTCAGTAACTCCACAAAACCAGCACATACAGAACATCTTTCCACTAGAACTTTTTTCTCAAGTGTGATTTTTCCATTAGGCAGCATAATGCCTGAAGGCACACCAGTTGAGAGATGCTTGCCCGGAGCCACTGAGCAAAGTAACTCACTCCAGTCCAGAGTCCTGGCCACCATACCACACAGCACTGTGCCAATGTTTCAGATCAGGGATCTCCAACCCAGGTCCTGCACAGGCCCAGTCCCATTAGTGTTACAGGTCACTGTATCAGTGACAGTTTCAGGAATATGTGTAGGTTATTGATCAATTAAGCAAGCAATGTGTTTAAGTACGGGAGCTATGCTCCTTGATATCTTCATCGGATATCAAAGGTCAGATCAGGATTTGTTCCAAATGTTATCAGAATGGCTTAACTAAACCAACCCCTGGCTTAAGCAATCAGTTCAGATTACTCCAAATACTCACAAATAGATTTATTGGCAATCTTAATAAAAACTGTAGCCACTTCATCTATTTTTTTTGCTAAAGCTATGAAAGCTTTAAGAAAGGAAGATTCTACCCAAAAAATATTGCTTCTTATTACTAATGTAAGAGACAGCATGGTGTGGTCTGTGTGTAGACATATTGGTCTTATAAGGAAGACCTTTCAGGGTAACAGGAATGTGAATATGGATTGCCTCTGGCTGTTTTGCAATGCCAGAAATCAGAAGCATCTAAACAAACTAGTAATTCCACTCTGGCGTCAATACCAAACCCCCTCCCCAGTGTTCTGGCAGCCCTGGCTGAGCAGAGGACATGAGCTCACCTCATCCGTGTTGTACATTCCCATCCCACAGCCCCCGGCAGGGAAGTCGAACACCTCCCACTCCTTGGCTGTGCTCCCATCCGTAGGGGTGAACACCATCTTGAACTTCCCAGGTTTGTCCACCACGAAGTCTGTCGCTTTGTACTGGTCAGAAACACGGAACAGACCCAGCTCAGCACAGAAAACATATATCTTTACGTGTAGAGTACCAGAAGTACTAATTTAACTGATGCAGTCTGCCTTGGTTTTACATGTGCAATGGGAGATACACTTTATCCTTTTGGGGAAAACAACGTTAAGACTTCAGCAGGGTCTCACACTTCTTTCTTCAGCTGAAACGTTGAGCTCTTGTGTAAAGCATGTTTATCAGAAAAACAGGCCTTTTCTCTGTTGTTTCCTTTGCCTGCTGGGATCAGGCACTGCAGAGCCTACCTGGTCACCGTGGGCATGTCTGCCGATCGTGATGGCCTGCGTCCAACCAGGAACGAGACGGGGAATGTTCTTGCAGATGATTGGCTCACGGAAGACTGTCCCGCCCAAAATGTTCCTGATTGTCCCATTGGGGCTCTTCCACATCTTCTTCAGATTGAACTCTGGAAAGGAATGAACGGCAAACCCCGTCAGGAAAGCCTGCAGATGGGGGAGGCCCCTCAGGCTCATCACGGACATATGACTGTTAAGAGTCTTCACAGCACAGTAACAGCAGCTATCTACAGGTGAGTGGGCTACATGCATTGGACTGTGGTTACATGTGAACAAATAGTTACATGTGGTTACAGGTAGATTTGACATTTAATGTAAAAAGCCTAGAGAAGAGATTAATAAAGAGTGTGTGGTATAGCCTAGGGTGCTTGGACCACTTTAATTCTGAAGCTCAATACAGTTGTTAAGGAAGGAGAAAGGGGAGAAACCAAGCCTAGTTTTCACCTGGCTCTGGACTCTTACCACACACAGATTGCTGATCTCCAATCGCTTTCAATAAAGGGTCTTGACGAAGGGATCAGCAGCTCAAAGAAACACATCTGGGGGACTTACAAACCAATCAAAAAGAGCAGCAAGAGAAGTGGAGACATCCTGCTCCACCCCCACCTGACTAGTCATGCATCTGGATCTCCTGCTTGACTGCTACCAGGGCTGGTCTGATCGGGGCCCCTCTGTCTCCCCCCCACCCCCTGCAGGATCCCACCAGAGCCCACCTTCTACGCGGGCCTCATCGGGGGTGATGGTGGCACACTTCACAGCGACACTGTACTTCTTGGTGGCGAGCGCGGAGTCGATGGTGACCTGGTCGTTGGTCTGGTCCCGGTATGGGAGACCCAGGTCGAAATACTTCAGCTCCACATCCACGTTGGTCAGAATGAGCTTTTGAGACGAAAGCAAAAGGAGAGGATCAGCGAGTTTAACCCGCAGCACAGAGGACCGTCGTTGCAAATGGCCAAGAGAGGAACCGAGCTGCAGTCGCTGGTTTAATGCGCAGCCTTCTCCAGGAAGGACCCAGTGCAAGTGAGACTGGGACTGGGTGTCTACAAATATGACATTGACATTTATTTGGCAGACGCTTTTATCCAATGCAACTGATGTTGACACCCAATTTATACAGCTGGGTATTTTCCTGGAGCCATGTGGGTGAAGCACAGCAGCTGTGTCCCACTTGGGACTTGATCCCATGATCCTCCATTATCCCACTGCTACAACCAACAGCACTTCTGATTGCGTTTGCTACTGGGAAACTTCAGGAGAGCTGCACACAAATGCCAGATGACTGTAAATGTTAGCTTGTAGTGCCCTTTGCCTATATTGGGAACAAGAACAGTTACGGACGTGAACCTCCTTTCGTTTCATTCAGTTGGCACCTGTCTCTTGGCAACCTGAACAGCAGCCTTGATGATACTTAACCCACAAACCCACAGGCACTAGAAGACATTCAGTAACTCTAGAAGTGCCTTTACAGAAATGTATTTTATCAAGCAATACAATAATCAGAGAGGGGGGAAAAGCTTCTGCTTACCAATGTCAAACAGTAATTATACTTCAGACCTGACAAACGTAATTGTGTAGTGACGTTTGTTTTAGAGTTAGACTCTAGGACTCCTGCAGTGGTTGATAAGGTTGCCAAGAAACAGTCTCCAGCTCTACCAGACATAGGGGTGGCTATGGAGCTAATCCTATTCACTCCTGTGAAACTGAATTCATTTCTGCACACCTCCCACCTCTGGCTATATGTTCATTTAGCTTGTTCCCACTTCACTTGTTACCCGGGGGCAGATTACACCTGACCCAACCATGAGAACTGTAGCTGCCATTAGCACACTCAGGATCCAAGGGCCCAGCACTTTGGGGCAGTATTGTTAACCACTGCACCAACGTGCCACTAGAATCCCATACTTAAACCTGCTAAACACCCAAATAAAGTTCCTTCAAAGGAAAGGGTTATTCCTGCTGTGTAGCTCCTTCTCCACAGGTTAGCACCAAGAAGCACACTGACCTGTTAATCTTTCCTGACCTATATCATAAAGCCTGACTCTTGCCTCTCCCGAAAGGTCAGTTTATTTCAAATAGCTTGTGTTGTGCATACCCAGCAGAGATACTTAGCAGTCACCAGTCCATACCTGCCAGACAGCTTCTGTCAGCCAGGAAGATGTAATTAGGTAAACTGTGCTCGAGTCCAAGACCACACACACAATGGTTTAGAAAACTTCATGCATATAAAGAGAAAAGCGCTTAAGAGGCTGCACTGCAATCTCGTTAAATTGGTTTTATTTTCCGAGTAACTGGGCTTAAGGCAATCAGTTCTAAGGGCTCAATTCCCCCGTGTTTCTCCCATCCAAATGTAATTCTGCAAAATAGATAGATTATACAACTGGAGTGCAATGCAGAGGATAATCAACTGCTTGGCAAGACTTGCCGGATTTTAAATGCAGAGTAACTACCTCTTAAGAATTTGAATAACAGGAGATGGGGCTGTTCGCAGTAGCTATAGTTGGGTTTCCCTTATATTGCCAGCTCTTGTCCTGGAGAGTCTGGCTAGCCTTACAGGGTACCCAACCTACCTATTACTTAAGACTGGGATCACCCATAGGTTACAGATCACGTCAGCTAGCAATTTCCTAATGAAGCAATACCTTCTCCTTGATGAACTCCCAGATGATTCGGGTCATTTCGTCACCGTCCATCTCCACCACGGGCTGGGACACCTTGATACGCTTGTCTGCATCTGCGTGAGAAAGACCAAGCGCAAAGTGGTCAGCTCCAGGCTGCCCCAACACTGCCCAAGGCCCAGTTCGGAATGGGTCAGAACACAGCAAGGCTGTGGCTCCCTTTGCCCTCGGAATGCCCCCAGCAGGACACCTGGCAGGCAGTAAACTGAAAAGCTCTCTTCTCAAATGAACTACGTGCAGTGATCGGGATGAGAAAATGTGAAACACGATGGGCAGTGATATCGAGTGTTATGCCATCAGTGAATTGGCCTCATCACTGTGTTCTCCTCCCCACTGATCGCCGATGTGTGAAAGGGTACTGGCTGCTGTTGCATCACGCAGGTGGGGAGGGGATCCCCATTACCTGTAAAGCCCTTTGAAAGGAGTGTCCAGAAATGCACTATATAAATATAGGTGATTGAAAAACAAACATTTTCATTGTATGACCAACAAAGTGGGTCATTCATCTAATGCAAAAGCATTGTCTGAACTAAAGGCAGTGAATTAAGACGGCTCTTTCACTTGATTTCTGTTGAATGTCGAAAAGGAAATTTAGGTCGGGCACCATGTTGCCAGCAAAGACAGAGGCATTTAAAAGGAACTTAAGAAATCAACTTCACAGCACGCATATGTAATTAACTTTCAACAATGCTGAGCCAAGTCAGCTGATTTTAATTTGTGTTTCACTGTCTAAAACAAAACTGCTGTTAAAGCGAAGTGTAGAAGGAGAGGCACAGCTCTTGATGCTTATGCTGGGCTTCACAGCGATAATACGGGATAAAACCTGTAAGAAAATCTCTCCGTTTTAAAAAATGCACAGGGATGTACAGCTCCACAACACTGAATGGAGGAACCAGATCAAGTTGCAGTGAGGACTGCATGCGGTCTGTCCTGGAACAGCAGACAAGCTGAATGAACAGATAGTGAGAGGGTGGGATAGGAGGCCTCCCCTATCATCCCCATCTCTAACTGTAAACCACAACACAGTGATGTCTCTACTCTGTATCTGGTTACAGATTCAGCAGACTCTATGCTATTAGTGTATGAACGTGTGCACATGGGGGAGAGGAGGCTGGGTCTGGCTGAAAAGGTGCACTCTGTGTTATTTGCAAGGCTCCTTAAAGTCAGGCCCCCTTATCCACATACTGCAGCAGCCCAAGGAACTGCGGAGGCTGCAGGGGTCAGAGGGATGATGCACTCTTATGCAGGGCTGAATCTATGCACACTTGTGCAGTCACCACCTCTGCCTGCAAAGCACTCACAACAACCACAGCTTCCGCTACGTAGCTTCAGCTACGACATCACACTCAGCACTCGTCTTCGAGTATCTGGTTTCCTTTTCCGTCATTGAAACAAAGTTTGTTTCTGCCTTGTTCCCCCCTCACCCAAGTCAACTGTTGACAGATTCCACACTAAACACTAAAGTGCCTTTCTTCTAAACCTGTTCCAATTCTACCAACCTGTTTACCGACAAGTATCAGGTAACAACAAAACGGGACACTGACAACATCCCCCGTGCACTGAAAGGTTCTGTTGTGTCCTGGTCAATTGGAACTCCAGTGATCATTTCTTGCTCAGCAGACGTGACTTCTTCATAAGGGAAGTTCATTATCTTTACCAGACTTCGGTAGAGTCTGTGAAATATCCACTTCTGCCCAGACTGGAGCCTCGTGACACAGAGAGTGGATATGCATTCTGAGAGCAGTCAGCTCACATGGCAGCCCTCCAATAAAACTCCCTCTCTCCCTCGACTCTCTGGCCATCCAAGGTGCCCTCTTTCCCTCTCTCAGCAGGGAAGGGAAGGAGGGGGAGGGGAGGAAGAGAGTCCAGGGACTTGGACACCTGCTTGCTTAGGAGGCTAAATGAAACTCTGTATGTCAGCTGCTGCAGAAAACGGAAAGAACTTTTGAAGATCCGAAACACACTGACACAACGATCCATTTCACAATGCAAACCTCCCGGAGGACCATGCCTTAAGGTTAAGCGCCTGACAAAACAACAAAGAGGTCAATTAAAGATCCATTTGTTCTTCACACAAAATCAGCCTGAGCTCTAAGTGGGAAACCTTAAAGGAAGGAGAAAAGTTCCAATTGTACACTCAAAGTCCTCAGCGCTGTCCTTCCTCTAAAATAAAAAAAAAATATGTAAAGGGACTTTTCAGCTTCTCCTGCCCTGTGATGCAATCTGATTTTACAACCTCTTCAATCTTCACCCATAAAGCTAATCACACAAAGCAACCTGCCCAGACTCATTTGAAAGGGAAGTCAGCCTGTTTAAAATGTCTATTGTAGATAACCCACAGTGGGAAAAGAAAAAGATCATAATTTTCAGAACTTATCTGCCAACTGATTTCTTAATTATTAAGAACAACTGCAATCAAAGCTCCTGAACTTTCCTCCACAGTCTGACCGCTGCTGACGGCCTCCGAGAGTGACGACATGGTGCACAGACTGCTCTGGGATATGTTCTGTTTAACACTCTCTCAGCTGAGCCGGCTGCACGTTAGCCAAGACCCTTCTCTGGGTGTGCCTGTGAGAGGCAAGAGGCGATGAGCCCGTACGTTTGGAGTGCATCTATATAAAAATAGAAACAATATGACTCAACCCCGTATAAGCCCCTTGTGCAATAGTTTTCAGGCCTAGCCCCGATCAGCCAGAGCGAACCTCCACCACACAGTGTCATGGGAAGCGTCCTGCCCCAGCTCAGCCCTACGTACGTCCAGCAGAACAGTCTCAACTTGAAAAGTATTCATCCATCTACACATTCATCAGCAGAAACCTGTGGCAAGCCAGAACACAAGCCCTGAGAGCACAGGGCTCCAGGCGGGACAGAGGGTTATGCCAGGGGGTGGAAGAGATCCTTTAGAATGGACAACCAAGACCACCAATACATTCTGGGTAACTGGCACACATCCACAATAAGCACAGGCAGGACAAGCTAATGCAAACATCAGGCAGCTAAGGCTGGAAGCGAACTCATGACCCTGGAGCCTGGTGCTACTATCAGGGAGCCAGGCACCCTGGGAAGGCTCCCACTATCACAGTCACAGCCAAGGGCACCCTGGGAAGGCTCCCACTATCACAGTCACAGCCAAGGGCACCCTGGGAAGGCATTCCCAAAACATTTTAAACAAAGTAGAAAATATACACTATTATGTTCACTTTTAAAGGTATTACATATTTACTAATTTTATTAGACAATATACTCATATATGCCCAAAATCTACATATATAACAATGATAATAGCGATACACATACACATATATACCTATATCACAACATAGTTACATGTATTTAGCAAACATTGAACAGTATCTTCAAAATAAACAGAGTATATAATTGACATTCTTGTCTAAAATACAAAGATATGGTATTTAATATATTTCTCCTATGACAAAAATAGGCCAATTTCACAATATTTAAAATAATTCAATATCATGCGGTATACACAATACAAACATGTTTTATCCATCTCAAATACTAAACTTTAAATAACATTAGGCTGCCACACAGGAAACATCAATAAGTAAGGCTGTGAAACATTGTATATGTGCACACAAATGTATGCGTCTGTCTGGGCTATTTTAAGTGCACACTCAATCTGAAACAGTCTGTGGGACTATTTTTTTTAAAGATCAGCACCTGAATCAGGAAGTGTGAAGCACTTACCGTGCACGTATACAGTGTACACACTCACACTTGTCAGCCCAGGCTTGCTCTCTGCCCACGAAGGGCAGTGCCATCCCGGTTAAACCCACTGCAGAGTAAGAAGCAGACAAGCGCCAGTAGGATTGTGCTGTGTGCGGCTGCTAGCAATGATCAGACAGCACTGCAGACACGGAAGATTTGCATGAACTCTCCTTGAGTCCCTCCTGTTCAAACGAGCCCTGCCGCTGGAATAACGTGTTGGTCTGCCAACTTTACAGCCTCCTCCCCACAGCACATGTAGTTCGGGAATAATTACCTTAAGTGGGAGGCTCTTTCTGCATTCACATAAACCTACTACCCAAAGAGGCTCACCTCATGTTTTATAAACTAAATTAAGTCAATTAACTTCATTTTTCAATGTTTGACAATGCATAATTGGGGACTCCCCCCCCCATCTCTTTACAGCTGCTCACAAGAGCATTGTTAAAGCAGTGAGCAATCTGTCACTGAACATTCACACACAGAAACACCACATGGGCCTGTAAGAAGAGAAGCACTAGAAATAAAGGGAAACACTGGAGAGACCAGCCGAGCCACAGCCATTAAAATCAAAGATGAGGCGAAAGATTAACAAAATGAAATGACCCTCAAGACTAACAATTCACTCTTACAATAGGTGCCTCAGATTTATCCTTGTCTTGTCTTTCTGAGAAAGTGAACAGAATGACAAGTTAAAATACAGTAAAGGATTTACAAAAATCCATTATTTACCCATTCCAAAAATCTAAAGTATAAGGAACAAACCTGGTTGCCACTAGGACGGTTTTCTGGGAAGCTGTGCTGGTGTAATCTTTCCAATGTCAGCAGCTATATCACCCTGCAACTCACAACTGGCAGCCCACTGGAGCTCAGCAGGTGTGAGCCTGGTCAGTACCTGGATGGGAAACCTCCTGGGAAAAACTAAGGTTGCTGCTGGAAGAGGTGTTAGTGGGGCCAGCAGGGGGTGCTCAGCCTGCGGTCTGTGTGGACACTATACTGTAAAAAGGCCTCTGGATGAGACGTAAAGATTCATATTCTAGGTTGAATCTAGGATGAATTGAATCTCAGTTGAATCTCATCCTCTGGATTCATCAATGGATTAATCTATGAATTGGCTTCATCACTCTGCTCTCCTCCCCACTGATAGCTGATGTGTGGGGAGTGTTCTGGCGCACTTTGGCTGCCGTCGCATCATCCAGGTGGGGCTGCACATTGGTGGTGGTGGAGGGGAGTCCCCATTACCTGTAAAGCACTTTGAGTGGAGTGTCCAGAAAAGCGCAATATAAGTGTAAGCAATTATTATTATTAATTTTGGTCATCAAATCAAAATGCACTTTGATGCAGGGCTCCTCCTTGTCATGACACAGTAAACTGGAGTCACCGGCCTCTGAGAACTTGTTCCCTGTGGCTACAGGCTTAACAGGTAGGCAGCATTTTAAGGTATTGTGCTGTGATATATAAAAAACATTACATTTTTAAGGAGTTTAGAAAACAGAATGATTTAAAGTGCCCTTTTATTAAGGTACAATTCAACAGCAACCAAGAGAAATTTGTCCTAAGCGACCACAATGGAATAAACTGACAAACACTAATCCTTTCAATACAGTCATTCAATAATTAGTGTTTTGGTCACAAAGAGCTACAATCACTACTGGAAAAGGTATGTGCTGAACATATTCTTCACTTTCTCAAGTTAGGATTCTCAGTGGCAGCCTGTAGTAAACTTACTATTAATCTGAGGAAGAAAAAAAAAAAGGCAAGCAAGAACACAAAACACAAAAGAATTACGTTTAACAATAAGATACAGTACAATGGGCTTGTGCTACAGTGTAATCATGGTCACGGGACAGCTGATTCCTCTGAAGCTGTCAAGGGCAAAACGAGCTAAAGGAGCAGTTTTCCTTTCAAGGTCAACTGTTAAAGAACACCAGCTGGGGAACTTGCTGGTGTTACAGTCAGTCTTACAACATCCAGCCTGACAGCGTTTTGGAACATCTTAGACTCGGAATGCTCTGTTCCCTTCCTCATTCAGGCAAAACAAGACGATGAAATACACAGAGAGCTTTCGCACAAGCATGAACAAACCCCAACAGCAACAGGTGTTTCAGAAAAGCAGCTGAAGTGCGAAATGGGCAGATTTAATTAAGGCCGACATTAACCGGACACGTCTCTGTGCTAAATCTGCCAACTAATATATTACCAGGTTGAGGTTCCAGTGAAGATCTTCCAACATTCATGAATGCAAAACCTAACATATGGCCAATCATTAAACTTCACAAAGCCAACGCTTCATTTACTGATGTTTCGGGAAAATAACATGTACCATCTTTGAAGCAAAAAAGAACTCAGCAATTGTACTTTTAAACTACAACGATAAGCGACAGGGATAACTTTAAATTTTCTCTTTAACACAAACATCGAGGGCTAGTACTTACAACATAATGACCACTACTACATGGCGACATGATTCATTGAAAAGTAGCAGACGAGCAGCTCTGTTACAGTTGTGTACAATCATTTTAAACCAAGCAGCCATCATCCAATCTGAAGGTAAATTTAAATACTAAGTGGGCACAACGTAATGTTGGAACTCTGTGATACAGAAAACACAACTGCAAGAATTTCACTCACCATTTTAACCGTGTAGAAATCCTGAAAGCATCTGGTGATTCACTCTAAAATTGGCCAGCACTATATTCAAATGCTGCAGGGGAAACGTGCACATATCTTAAAACATTAAACTACTACAACAGGCACAGATCTCAACATTTTCAGGGCCTGAGTTGTATTCGAAGTTAAAGGGGCCATACAAAATTGTCAGCAGTAACAGCTTCTCCCTTGTGACTGTAAGAAGACAGAAACCATGTTCTTCGGTGAAACAGTGTCAGTTTGTAAACTGGCACACTGGACATTTCACTTGACCTCTCCAGACTGTTTCATAGGACTAAAGCCGTATCTCTTTGCAAAAAAAACTGTAAACAGCACTTGGAACTGCCTTTTCTTTCTCTGACAGTAGTCAAAATCTCTTCTTAGAGCTGGACAAGAATTCAAATCAAAGGTAAACACAGTCACACCTACAGGCCATTCTTATGCAAGAAAGCCTTTTAAGAAAAGGCAGACATGAAAAGAGACATGAGTGTCTCTTGTGCAATTCAGAGAGAAACAGCTCATTAGGGCCTTGATAAGATTACACTGTTCTAAAGTAAACTGTGGATTAGAAATGAAGATATTTCTTGTTCTAAGGTTATGAAAAGCAGATGGGGGTGAAGGAACTGTCCATAAATTACTACACTTACATGCACTTTCATGCGGAACAGGCTTGTTCTCCACTGCCCTGAGCTGAAACCACTTTCCTTCAACCTGCTGCTTCTGGCCTCAGTCAGCCAAGCATCTCCCACCCTCTCCCTTCTCCTCTTGCCCTTCGGCTTTGCCCTAGTGATCCTTTCCACCCCTTCTCTAAAAATGGCAGCCAGCATGACCAGACCCTCACGCCTCACTGAGTTAAGGCCTGTCTAAGCCACTCCGAGCTTTTAATCCTCACAAAGCACAGTGCTGAAGGGAGCCTTCACCCAGGACCCAGGGCACAACACGACACCCTGCGGCAGACCCACGCCACCCCTCACAGCGCCCTTTAATCCAAGCTAGCACAGCCTGCCCCTTGCTTTCAGCCAGAAAGCACGACGAATGAGCTTCAGACGGAGAAATTACGTAACAGCGGCCGAGGGGGGGGCGGGGGTACGACCCTTCTTCTCTAGCAAGTCCTTCATCTGACCTCCTTACTCACGCACCGATCCAGAAAGCACACGCAGGAGTACCGTTTGAGCTGGCCTGTCGCTACATCACATGTCTGAGGCCAGATACGATTTCCACAACACAAACGCACAGGCCTTTAAATCTGGGGCAAGTGTCTCCCGGCCAAGAAAACTGTTTAACCTTGAAGGAAGAAACATGGGGGATTTTGTATAATCAGACAGGCAAAGGAACAAAGGCAGATACCACACTTCTCTTTCTCTGCCTAAAGGCTAAAAAAAACTTTAAATCAATAAGAGTGCCTCACAAGAGACAGTACGAAATTTCCCCATTGATTAGACATTGGTTACAGGTTGGTGGGGTTTAAAATAGATTTTACGGTTTTGGAATTTGCATACAGTGGGGAAAAAAAAACCCACAAATTTGACCACTACCTAATCCTGCCTTAAAAACCCCAAACAACAGCACTCATATCTGTGCAGTACGGCTTTTCGGGCCTCGCTGGCGACGCTCAGCTGACGGAAACGTTTCTCTATGAATCACACATGACTTGGCACAGCAAGCCGAGACGGTGCTCAACAGCAACCAAAAAAAAGCACCAGCGGATGTCAGACCGAAAAAGTTTGCGTTTATATACTCCTGTTGTTCTACACTGCTAGCGATATTAAATAAAATGTAGAAGTGCTAGGAGTTGCAACAAGGCAAAGACGGCGTCAGTGCGTTCATGCAAACTCCTTGAAGACCTAATCCTTCTTATGAAGCGTCTGACCTTGACCGTATATAGACGGAAATAACGGAAACTGAAACCCACACGCTTGTTTACATTTCTGTCAGATTTCAAGGTGACACAAGACACTCTTCGGTTAACTATCTACATCTGTCAAACACGACCGGAGGCCAGGTGAAATACCTGCTACGGGGTAAGACTTGGGGGGGAAAAGCAGCACAAAACCCTCGACATTTCTTAAATTACTCAACTACCGCAAAACGATACGAACATCTAGGTCCACTATATGGATTTTTTTAATGCAAGATTTCAAACACTGCACACGATGCACAAGCCCGAGAACTTTTTTTTTTAATTCACCTGCAACCACCCAACACTTGATTAGAGATGAGAAGGCTGAAACTGGGCTAGCAGAGGCAAAATTGCAAAAAGTAAGTATTGGGACGGGGCCGGCATCAGCTGAGCTGCCTTAGTCGTCCTCTGCCCACGTCAGAGCTGAAATGTGAGCCCCCCTCCACCTCCAGCGTGCGGGTCTGACTAAACGACCGGTTAAAAGGTAAACGCCTAAACTTCTCCACGGTCGAAAACTAAAGTCTGGCGTCCGTAAAAAAGGTCACGTCGCCTCGACCCGCTTTTGCAGCGCCTGTAAGTAACAGCAGGCTGCCCTGAGGCGATGTCCTCCTCTCATTCATACCGGAGCTCATTCAGCGCCGCGCCGTTCGCCGGCTTTTCAGCAAGATGGTCGCCGGCTGCGCGCCGGGGGAGCGTTTCTGCTTTCGCCCTTGACCGCTCTGCCCTGCCGTTTTTCTTGCTCGGCTCAATAACTTGTTTTTTGTTGCTGTTAAAGAACAAAGCAAACAACAACAACAACAACAACGGCTGTTGAAGAATAATGCCTCAGCGTTTAGTTTCATTTTCAACCCGGGTCCTTTCAAATCAAAAACGAACCGCGAAAGTCAACGAACGGGACAACAAAGGATGTGCTGATCTGGAAGAAAATAAAATAACCCAGTCTCCTTCTCGCCGGGTTTGTTTGTTTGTGTTTTAGGTCAGCTGCCTGGCTTGCTTGCTTGCTTGCTTAAATCAATGAACGGACAGATCCCCGTCCAGAAAAAAAAAGGCTTACATTTCCGAAACCCTACTCGGTTGCTTCTATTAATTAACACGATTGGTACCGATCAACGTGATTTGCAGTTAAACGGCGGAACACTTGGCTCGGTTTTAATAAAATAAACCACTGTGTGTGTGGGGTGGGGGGGCAAAATAAACCCGGCAAGTTAAAACATGTATCAATCTTGAAACGCACACGTCTGCAGTCGGCTAGATGGCCCGGATACGGCGAAGGGCTAACGCATCTTCGCTATAAATAGCCGGGCGCCGCTGCTCGCCGCCGCCCGGGGACGGAGCGGGTCCCGCCGGTCAGACTCACAGTTGCGCTGCTGGAGGTGCTGGCAGGCGGCGGGGGCCAGCGCGGCGGGGCTCCGGGACACCGCGGCGGCGGACCTGGAGAGGGAGCTGAGCACCTTCAGGTATCCTGCCATGTTTCGGCTGGTTGCTCTGTGACGGCAGCTGCTGTTGAGGGGTTGCACTCCGGGCGAAGAAAAGGCCGGGTGGGAAAGGAGCGCAGTACAATATACCGGGGCAGAGCGCCTCCCCAAGCCTGCGATCCCACACGTACAGCCCCACGTCAGCGGCTGTCATGAGGACGGGGGGGGGGGCCCTGGCGGTGGGCAGCGATGCCGCCGTGCGGTGGGTTGCGGTACTGCAACCTGTTAGTGGTGCCGCCGGCCGTGTCGACCAGGAAAGCACAGAGAAAAGCTCATTTTCTACGCTCCACGGGACTGGGAAACTGTCCTTTTAAGTTTGTGTTACCTTTTTGTCAGTTTACGCAATATTCCTGTCTGATTGTTTTGGCACCAAGCGTTTTGGGAGCTCATACCGCGCTCTCAGTTTCACTCCATATGACTCTCCGGTTTACAATGATTTCACTGTGCTCCCACAGTTATTATTAAATTAAGTAATAATACTTTATTGTAGGTAGCGCCTTAAAAAACATCTTATCGAAACGCATTATAGGAAAAGTAAAAAATAAGTTAAAACAAGCGAAAACAGTAATAAGGACTAAATCCAGAAAAATTGATTAAATTTCCACAAAGAAACACAAGGGATTAGAACTGTAGGAGAAAAAGCAAGGAGCAGACGCAGTTCTCTACCCCTTCCTCTCCAATTCACACAATGCCACATTCGCAAATGAATTAGTCCCCACACCCTTCCAAAATCAGGCTTTTCTCAGTGGTGTGACGATGCTTTAAAATAGGTTTGTTGACTTGCATGTGAACCTATTGTGAGCTGACCCACTTTCAGGGTGAAAACGTACTGGCAATTAGCACTTCTATGCTAACAGTGCTGGTTTGGGTCTTTCTGGTGAAACTGAGGAACAGAGATTGACTTCAGTCACAGTAGTGGGTTTATTACCAACATATGCTGGTGTTTGCCAGCATAGGTTACTTTATTGAAAAAATCAGCAGTGTTTACTTTGAACCCCTCTATCTGTACCTTATTTGTATCATCATTAACAGATTAGGGTGTATTTGTTGAAACAAGTTCTCAGAGTGCTGCAGTGCCTGTGTAGCCCGGTGACTCCAGTTTTCTGTGTCATGACAAGGAGGAGCCCTGCATCAAAGTGCATTTTAATTTGATGACCAAAATTAAAAATAATAACTGCTTATATAGCACTTTTCTGTACACTCCACTCAAAGCGCTTTACAGGTAATGCAGCCCCACCTGGATGATGCGCCAGCAGCCATAGTGCACCACAACACTCCCCACACATCAGCTATCAGTGGGGAGGAGAGCAGAGTGACGAAGCCAGTTCAGAGATGGGGATTATTAGGATGCCCTGATTAGTAAGGGCCAATAGGAAATTTGACCAGGATTTTTAATGACCACAGAGAGTCAGGAACTCAGTTTCACATCTCATCCAAAGGACAGCACCATTTTGCAGTATAGTGTCCATGTCATTATACTGGGGCATTATTCCAAATAGACTGCAGGGTGAGCACCCCCTGCTGGCCCCACTAACACCTCTTCCAGCAGCAACCTTAGTTTTTCCCAGGCCATCTCCCATCCAGGTACTGACCAGGCTCACACCTGCTGAGCTTCAGTGGTTTGCTACATGTGAGTTGCAGGGTGATAAGGCTCCTGCTGAGCTTAAAAAAAAAGCGCAGTTTCAGTGCAGTACTTCCTATGTTGCTATACAGGTGCTCTATTCCCAGTACAGTAAGAGAATACTAGGATCTTTATTTTTTCCAGAGGCCCTAGCCTACCACACTAATACCCTGAATGTTCAACAGTTTATGCGTTTGCATTTAAATGTTTGATCCACTTTTCTCCCCAGCACCTCTGTATAAATAATACAGTCCAGGGGCTCTGTAGCGGTAAGAGACTAGGTGACTTCAAATGGCCACAGTGTTCCCTGTAGAATCCAGGGTTATTTAGTTTTTTCTCCGTTTTTTCTGGTGACTGGTGGAAACACTCCAGCTTTCTCTAAACAGACACTAGGGTGGAATTCTATTTTGAGTTCCAGATCTGTTTTTGTTACTGTGTGGGAGTCAGCCTTGCACAGAATGAGAAGTGAAAGTAATGGTTGAATTTAATTGGACAATTCCAAGTATACCTTTTTGGACTGTAATGGCCTTCTCGTTTAAAGTTAAAGCAACAAGACATGAGATCGTTTATTAGTTATGAGCTGTGGTATTTTTTTCCAAATCCCCTGTGCATAGGACTTTACATAGTTGGACTTTTTACAAAGGACATTCAATGATCTTAACTATTAATGCACACTGAACTAGTGTTCCTCTGGAACTGACTTTTATGGTAAAAAAACTGACAAAAGGTCTTGATAGGAGATATTTCTGAATGTGGTGATATACAATAACTAAGTTAAACATAATTGAGTTACTGCTGTACTGATCAAACCTCCTTTGTAAATGTTTATCACACTAGCTACGTGTTCCATGCTCTTAATACTGTAAGTAGAAAGGAGTCAACTGTTATACAGTAATATTTGGAAAATTGTATCATACTATACTTTGTAAAAAACTGGATGTTTGAGGTTGCTGGTTTTTAATTTATCAGTAAAGGGTGTGTGCAGACTGAGCTAATTTAACAGTTCTTAAGATCTATGACACTGCCTGTGAACGGACTCATAAGCTGACACTCATTTAGAAAATCATTAACCAGATTTCTTCCAAATAAACCTGTTATTTTTTTTCTACTCATCCCTTTTTGTTGTTTTTAACAGTGGTGTAATATTTGGTTACCAGGCTAGCCACCCTGCGATTGATTTTTATGATTATAATATGCAGGCCCTCCGAGAGCTCAGATGAAGTCCAGGTCATTTCACACTGTGAGGCCCCCTCATTGTCTGGGAAGAGGGGTAAAAAATATTTTAATGTCAAGAATGGCATGATGGGAAGATTAAGGTGGGCATCTTGAAACTCCTAAAAATGGTAGATTCAGCACTGAATCTGTTTTTTCTCAGCCTTGTCGAGAATCACAGTATATTGTTCCACATTTGAATCGAGTCAAGAAACACAGCCAAAGGGTTAAAGGGGAGGACCATGCACCCTGGACTTAGGTGAGGCCCCCATGTGAGGTGAGGCTTTGGCCAAATGCCCCTACTGCCACTCCCCCGCTCGGAGGGCCTGATAATATGTAACATCATCAGACAAGTACACTGGAGTTCAATGGGATTTGTCTCGTTTTGGAAGTGATGGAAAAAATGCACCTGAACAAATGCACCTAACAATATTATGTAATTGTTACCTCGTCTAAACTTAATGAGATGTGTTCAGATATACTGTTTTAAGTATGTATATATATATATTAATGTAAAACGTTCTGTTATGTGATTATCTGTATTTATTTGTGAAAATTCTTAAAAATTGAAATCGCATTGGAGGTCAATGTGCTGAACTGAGGGAGAAGCACAGTCTGCTCGCATTCATCGGCCTCATGTAAAGTGTCGAGGCCATCGCGGCCTGTAGCCACAGTCGGACCAGGCTTTGCGAAAGGCACACAGGATCTAGTGAAGGGAGCTCAAGGGCAGCTTTCCAGTCCCTGAAATAATCCCGTCACATTCTGTCCTGCCTGGAGCTGCGCAGGGTTCTAATTTTAGCTGCTGGTGGTGGCCATACTGGGAGAAGGAATTGGAAGTGTTCAGTCATGTGGATCTGTGCTATCTTGGAGGGACGCCAGTAAGAAACTCCTGGCGATTGCCTCCCATCCAGTAACCACACAGCTGGGGTACAGCATGGGTATAGAGGTTCAGGACAGGCAAGGTCAATGCAGAAGGGATTTTTAATTAAGGGCAGCCTGCAATCCAGTATATTGTCATGGCTTCATATTGCTCAAGCATGGCACTGCTATTGTGTTCTGTTTTGTTTTCTGAGTTCTGCTGGTTTTTAGACCTTGGAGTGTATCTGAATGCTGTTCTCTGGAGTGATTCTAGAGCAGTAGTTTTTTTTATAATTTGGTGACCCAAAGTGAACGTAGTATTGTAAGGTCTCACTAGTGTGTTGTATGATTTTATTATTTTAATCTGCAAAGCTGCTGCCTGTTAGTTAGTTATCCTCCTGGTTCTGTGTGAGACAAATGGTTGTAGCTGGTAGGTGTAATCTTTATTCATGGCATAATATCATTGGACTGATGTAGCACCCAGGTAGCTTTTGACTACATACACACAGGAACAAATGATACTGCATATTATTGGCAGAATCGGAAGGGATTGTTCCGATAGCAGAAGTAGTTCAAGTAGGGAGCTGCGTCAGCATATGTAGGCTGCAAAGGAGCAAGTAAAGATTTCTTTACACTCGAAGAGCATGGAAAAAAACGTTTTACTTGTTAATTTAAAGCGTGCTTCGGGAAGATATTGCCAAAACAAAACCAAAATGAAATGGGTTGCTTTTCAAAGACCTAATATTAATATGATTTATAATTAGCAGCATTGAGAGTATTGACATGCAGTCTTACTTTCCTGCGGAAATCTGATTTTACTTCAGTACAAGATTCTTTGGCCTCTCCATTTGGGCAGATCTCAGTTGACATGCCGGATCTCGGTTCAGATGATGCAGATAACTGTCTCTGTTCAAGAAAAGCAGCACCTTTTCTCTTCTTGGCTTCTGAATTATTTTTAAAACAAGGATACAGTAGTGACAGTTTTAAGTGTAATAGTGTGACATCAGAGGAATTTTGTACACAACTGCAATGAAATGCTTTATATACTAATAAAACATTGAATTTTACATCCATGTCTTACTAACAGGTGCATAATTAAGAGTAGGATGTTGCAGCAATCTAAATATATAAGCAGCCCTTCAAAACTCTTGTTCAGCACCAGGAGATATCTGTGAAAAGGATCCCTCTCATGGTGAACAAGTGAACTGCACCTTTAATAATGCAGAGACAGCAGGTAACTAAATCTCCCATCAGGAAGATTCAGCACTTTCTCAATAACATATAATGTACTGTTTAAGACATTAAAAAAACAGTTGGTTACAGTATAGAACCAAATAATAAAATCTATTGCATAAGTAATTAACACAATCCAAGCAGAAGTGATGGCATGCTTAATTTATTTTTTGCCATAAAAAAGAATGGAAAAATGAATACACAGAACATTAAAAATATATTTGGTATATGTTTTTTAAAAAAAATCTCTCTTCACCCTTGAGCCAAACGTGCATGTACAAGGCAGTGTGAAATCAGGCAGGTAATGGCAACACCCTGGTACAATAGGTCATTTGTTCTTTGAAAGATGTTAATCCTTCCTGGGGATTAAAACTGTCTGAAAGCTGCCCTGCAACTCCCCAACAGAACAGAAAGATGAGCCTGCACTGCAACAAACAGGCACAGATGCAAACAAAATAACCTGAAAGTACAGACAGGACGTTTTAACAGAGGAACTCTCCTAGTTCCTTAGATTTAAGGTCACTCAATGGCAAACAGAAGGAAACCGGTTACAACTCAACCTAAGTGAATTCATTTTGCTTGTTTGACGTTTGGATTGTGCTGTATAAACTAACAGCAGACAGATGGTGGCGGTTTTTCCACTAGAATTACCCAAGCATGAAATACACCACCTGTCTTTTATGGTGGAGCACTAAAACAACCTTCTTTTCCAGTTTTATCTGGTACTCTGATCAGTGTGATTCACCTAGGATTCCATGCACGTAATGGGAACACTTTGTTTTCATATTAGTCGGGAAACAATCCTTAAATCCAGAATTTGACAGCATTAAGCTATAGTTAATCTAACTGTTTTTCCCTCTTATGATTCTAGAAAAAGCTATTCAACTAATTGTTACAAACAAGCAAATCCAGGAACATCTGTGTGAGAGGGCATATTGTAAAAGCTTCCAAAGGTTAGGAACAATAGTACACTCAGCTGTAGGCTTTTAGATTTTGTCACAGAAGAGAGGTTCTGGGGAGGCCAGTGGTATAATACTGTCTGAAGGGCACATCCATAACTAGCTAGGTCTCAGCTAAAAGGTGCGTTTTTAAAATGCACAAATGTCATGTAATGCAAAACTGCAGAGTTCAATTTTAATTCAGTGTTTGCTGTTTTTGTAACATTTTTCTCCACATATGTCAAGTTTGTGATTTGTAAACATACTGTACCATATAAACTAATGTGGAAACCTTTTTTTTCTTTCTGAGCTGAATAACCAGTGGCGTAAAAGAGGTTCTTACCCACCATTCTCCTGCCCAGTCATGATGAGATGCTCTGTTTAAGATGTGCATTGACACGTTTCATCTTTCAGATCGCCAAATTTCACAAGACACATCGGCTACCACAAAAAAGATAAGGAAAGAGAGAAAGCCTGACTCAGTGCATTAATTGAGTAATGTAAGGGCGCAGGACTTACTTGTGGTGTGTAAAAAAACGCTTTTCACAAAACTGCAAAGGAACAGTTGTACAAACGACATGAGAGATCACTTTTAAAGTTGGGAGGAATTGGGAGATAAGACCAGTTTATTTGCATGACCTGAGGAGTGAAAAGAAAATAGAAACCTATAATTCTAGCAGTGTAAGTAAAAGCTGAGGGCAGCCAAGCTTGACCCAACTCTTCTCAAGGAGAACTAAAAAGAGATAAGAAACAGGACACTTGTTACAGCAAGTGAAAGCTATAATTACACAAGATTGCCTATTACCTACAATATCAAATCTGCTCACCATCTGGGAGAAGAGGAGACATCACCTACTTACACTGCAGGGATAGCCAAACATATTTTTAAAGAATACTAAACAGAAGGAAGTTGCACTTGTCACTTTTCTGGACAAGCTCCAGCTGTAATATTATAACTATTTTAACATTTAAATACTAAAGCTCACAAGGTGTGTTTGTAATTTTACTTATATAATTAATGTAGCCACCATTTTTATGATTTCAGACAAGATTTAATACTTTTTGCTCTATTAAGTTTCTTTCCAGAAGAAGTCAGACTGTTTTACTCTGAGAAAAGATGTTAACCCAGTGATTTCTTATAAAAGTGGTGAAAGCCTTCATGAGAGACTTTAAAAGTGTGCATCAAATGTCTTCAGTAAAAAAAAAATGCATGAAGATGGAGTGGGATTACACGTACAGAGTAAAAATAAAACTCACTTTTAATGCAACACATCAGAGAGAGACTTTTTTTTTTACTAGTACATATTCACTATGTAATGACACAGGAGAAACTATTTATGTAGCTGTACAGCTGAAGGGGTGCCCTGTGAGAAAAAAATAAATATTAAAAAAACAAACAAACGCAAAAATCCCCTTAAAAAGGAATGCAATCTTCAGGTAAGTTACAGTTTCATTTTAACGATGATGCATCGTTCCAATCTTAAAATGCCCGATGGGCTCATAAGCTTCATTTTGGTGGTACAGAACTCCAGTCACTCAGGGCCTCAGTGCTGTCTTCACTTAGTACAGAAAGGAACTAGCATCAGTCAGACTTGGACTGTGAGCTCTCAGGGGGTCTTGGTGTTTAGGTAGCGCCCACTGTGCGGGTCTTGTCAGCTAAGCAGCAGGTCTACTCAGACTCATTGCTCGTCTGCTGGGCTGCTCCTTACAAAGCAAACTGAGCAGCCGCTTGGAAATATTTTTACTCAGTCGTCAGGCCGTTCATTATTATATTATTCTTCATCTGCTGGGCTATTCATTACAATCGAAACTGGCCAGTTGATGAAATATTAACAGGCAGGACTGGGGCCTAGGGTGATGGGAGGGAGTAGAGTACCACCTGCTTTCCCCCGTTTCTCGAAACCTTCCCCTCCCGCCAGCACTCCAAGGCGGCCGAGAGGGCAGGCGCTCTCGGAGCTACAGCTATGTGTTGGCCGCCACGCCACTTTTCTTGTCCGTGAAGAAGCTCTTGAGCATGGCCACCTGGCCGATGCTGACCACGAAGAGGATGAAGGTCTCGCCGATGGACCAGTAGGTCACGCGGTCGTGGATCTCCTCCGCCCGGATCCGGTCCTGGGCCTCCCTCAGCCGGTACCAGGTCTGCGAGTCGGTCACCGTCTTCAGGATCTCGTGCAGCGAAAGGCAGGCCGACTCCATCTGAAAGGAAGAGGTCCTCGGTGAGGGACGCCGACAGAGCGGGGGTCTGCCCAGACTCTAATCCTGCGCATCTGCTGGGTCAACTTGCAGAAGAAAACAAGGATAAAAGATGCACAGACATCCTTCAGGGAAAGCCCAATGACTATACTGCAAGGGAGGACCTTTTGTTATATCCCATTTAAAAAAAGAAAGTTTTACTTTTTCATCTTTTATTCCCTTTTAAATGTGAACCACACTGACAGGCTGGAGGCTTTGTTTTGACCCTCTGCCTGCTTCTCTTATGCAGCTGTTCTGAAAAGGATCTATTCCCTGCTGAGATACGCCTGAACTGTTTAGGACACTTTTTTTAACTCACAATGATTTCTCCTCATTATATTTATTTCTGAAAAGGTTAAGGAAACCAAGAAGCACAGCAGTGAACGTGCCTGAAAACATTAAAACAACAACCATTTCCACTGCCAGTACACATTCTCTAAAAGAGGAAATCGGCAAAAGAGCCTTTTTTCTTCTACCTCAGGACTTCTGTACTGAGGTTTTTTTGTTAACTGGTGAACCAAAGAATCTCTCAGCTGCGTAGGGCCTTAGGAATGTTATACACTGGTTCGACAGAACAGCGTTGCCTGGCCTTGCAGTGTTTAGGATCCTGGACTCCAGACCAGAGAGTTGCAAGTACAGACCCTAGTAGAGTACGGGACAAAATTACTTTAGTACATACCTTGCTCTAGAAACTGATATTCAACACTGCAAATTACACCTTTTTTCTTTACTTATTTACTTATCTGTTTAAAGAAATATTTTTGAAAAATGAAGCCCAAGCTGCTTCTCAGTGGGTTAAGCTTCATGTTCAGTGTACACTGATCCTTTAGGCGTTACTTTTAAGAAGCTGAACAGACAAATGTTTTGTGCTTCTGTTCTTTTAGGAGAAAAGATAACAGGGAGACAGACCTGAGTGAGTGCAGTGGCCCTGCTCATTTCAGGAATGAGAGGCTTCTCTTCCCCAGCTCGGAAATCAAGGTAGATGGTTTTGTGAGAGAAGGTGGAGAATTCATTGCTGAAACAGACTTTGTAAACACCTTTCTCTTCTGTGGTGTGTGAGAAGCTGTTGTACTGCTTCTTTTTCTCCTGATACAAGACTCTGTCCAGTGGATCAGCTACAAAGCAGTCAACATCATAATTCCCGCCAGCAATGACCTGTTTTTTAGAGAGGAGAAAATAGTTTGGTGCCAAAACAGGTGGGACATAAACACACAAGACAAATATGCAAACATTGTGCAGGGAGATTAAAATCCAGTCGATCAGGTTTAAGAATTAAAATAGCATCGCAGTTGTTTCAAACCGCCTGGATAAGGGCTTGTTCAAGCAGCCGCCGGTATTACTGGGCTCAGATAAATTGTAGAAGTCTTGCACTTCTCGTGCATATAATGGACTACACTGTCAGCTGCAGGTGGGTAGCGGTATTACCACATCGACGGTACAGTAACACCCGAAACACTCCGCACTTGCCTGGCGTTTGTGCGATCTGAAAATAATTCTTTAAATTCCTACAAAACACGGTAGCCTCACTAAAATCGTATCTCCATAATGTTTGTTTCAGGACTAATTTCACTAAAACAAGTTTATCATCTGAGGGCTAAGTGTGAGTCAACAAATATTATCCGTGTAAGAGGCAGAATAACTAAAGCGGTTATTTGGTTTTATTAATGAAGGGTTTAATTAACTTGGTAATTGGTTACACAACGTACGCTAAACGAATAAAAACGAATTTCGCTCAGTTGAAGGAACATACCAAACATATGGATTTGACTTCACAGTTATCACAATACACACTGAGCATTAAACCACTGAGTTTACAGTATACGCATTTACCTATGCAGGATATAAATCACTTTAGGCAGATCATTCTATTTTACAAGTTGACATTTCAGTTCAGTGGAATTTCAAAATATATTGGAACCAGTGCTATACCCTGTATACAAAACACGACAAGACACGATTCTGCTGCGCTTAAAACTGGCTATTTGAATCTGCCAAATAGCCAGTTTTTATAGCCAAATAGCCAAAATAGCCAAATAGCCAGAACATGCACTACATGTTCAAATATCTAGCAGTGATATTTTTTAAATGCTAATTTGCAAAAAAAAGAAACGAAATATAAAAAATATTTGCACGAGTGAACTTACTTGATAATCTATATCAAACTTAACTCCTTTTTCAAGTTCCTCGTAGAAGCACTGTTTATCGTTATCTGGTAATTCAAACGTCAGCTCAGTACTGGAAACGAGAACAGCGTTCACCATCAGGCAGAACAGCAAAAGAAATCGCATGTTTGCGCAGTAAAAAAAAAGTTTGTAAATATGGAAAACTGTAAAGAAACAAAAGATAAGGCTTTCAACCTCTATCGGTGCAGTAAAGATTGCTCTCTGCTAGCAGTTTTATCACCGTGCCTACTTGCAATAAGACTTGTCTGTAAACTGATGACGACGTTTTGTGCCGGCGAATCCCTTTTTGCAAAACGTGACGTGGCAGGACAGAATAGCGCTTCCGGAGTGAAGGACTGTGGGAAGAGAGGTGAAGTGTTCGTGTAGCATCTTCTGCCATCGAAAAATGTGAGGGAATCGCTCCGCGATTGGCAGTGTTTTTTCTTTCAAGGGTAAACGTTACAATGCGCCATGCGGTACATGTACATTTAAATTCAACAGGCAGTATTTACAAAAGAAAAAAAGTCCCAGGCCGTGTACCAGGCGCTCCACTCCTTTATTGCTGCGCTGATCTCTGCAGAGCTGCAGCTGCATGACGTCATGGACAGCCCTGCGAAGCCCGTCTGCTCTTCTGTCTTCACAGCTACCGATGCAGATGTTGTGCAAAAGTGGTTTTATCCACACCTCAAACGATGCAGAAACTCCTATGTAAAATATGATATGTAAAATATGATATGTTAGCGGCTGGATCTCGCAAAGATAAAATAAACGTGTTTAACAAGTCCCCAGAAATGAACAGAGAAGCTTCCGCGGGTTAACTCCACGTTGAAAAGTAGAATTGAGGGAAAAAACAACATTTCGGCTGTTAATGCTTTGTTTTTTTCCTTCTTTCTACGGTTCAATGTGTAATACAACTGTCGGAGCTCCTTTAATAGCGTCGAGAGACGAAGTGTGGTGTATTAAGGTGTACAGCGTGTTTTAAACAATATTGCACATGGAACTGATTTATTCTTTTCGGCCCCCTTTCTCCTGCGGGAGTGCTGGTGTAGGGCGTTCAACTGCACAATAAAACTTCTGCATACACGAAACAAAGAAACGTCCATATAGGGATGTCTGTATAATGTCTGTAGAGGCGTTTACAATACATCCAGCATTTTCACTATAAATATACAGAAACGCTCGGCTGCTTTTGCCTGAACAGGATGCAGCCGACAGGGGGCACAGACACCGCAAAGTTCCCTCAATGTTACGCAAGCTAGGAGGAAGTACTGTCCTGTAATTGTTACTGTACGCACCGTACGATACAGTCATCCTCGAGGTTAGACTGGAGGCGACTTTATAGACCTGTACACTGCTGCGGCCAAGTGATCTGGTCAGACAGGCGCCATGGAGCTCTCTGGGTGCGCTAAAGGAATAAGGGACTTTGTGCAAGAGCACTCATCCGGCATCACTGTTGCTGTAGTCGCAGGTACTTGTTTACAGTGTTACAGGATATACTGAATTATTAAATATCGCGGAAAAATCAAAACATACATTTGCCGCGAGCACTACATCGCCCTATATCAAGACCACTTGTTTTGCACTTTTAGATCGGAAATCAAAGATTAAAATTTTAAAACGTAAAAACACATGACACACATAAACTTTGTTTTTGCAAGTATCGGTTGCTTGTAAACAACAGTTTCGCGTAATAGTATTTGGGCAAAACGGGGTAAAGGGAACATTCTGGTAATTAATATGAAGTCTGGAGAACAGAGAACGGAGATGGGATGGGAAGGCATTATTACGCCTCGAAGAGCATTGAATTATTTTTATGTCAAGTTTATGTTTCAGATAGAATTTGTCAGCTCCGCCGTTCTGGGCTTTTTTTTGGGTCATAAGTCACAGCTCTTGTTTCCTGCCCGAGGTGTGGGGCTTGTGGTTCTCCGGAGGTGGTTTGCCGGAGGCAAGTGCAAGAGCCGAGCTCGCCTGGATGGGAAAACTATCCTCATCACCGGAGCCAACACCGGTATCGGCAAAGCCACAGCCGAAGAGCTAGCTTGCAGGGGTGAGCGCCGAAACCCGCTCTTCGTCACCGTTACCGTCTGCATGATATTTTCTTACATAAAAAAAAACACTCTTCAGTCTTAAGTGCCCGTTGTGGAGAAGCACAGCAGTAAAGCCTTTTCATTAAGATATATCATCAGACAGAAATACGCTTCGAGTACAAGAACATCCGATTTTGAAAAGTGACAAAACACAGATCTGAGGTCAGTTATTCACACGGAGTCAGAGCTTTAAAGCTGTGACCATAAGTAGAGGGTGCTGGCGGCCGTGTCTTCAGATTTTCATATACGCAGTTTAAATAATCGAAGTGATTAGCTGCTGATAAGAAATCGTTAAAGCCTGCAGGATTTCAGCCCCACCCGCAGAGCCGGGTTTTGGCTGTTCCACCCTGTTTAAAGAAGAGCGGTGATATTGTCACGGATAGGTAACTCCTAAAACGAAGTCTTATTCTTGTTTGGTGCATGACTGCGCCACCTAGAAATTATAACGGGTGCAAGGCCCCTCATTAATATTCCACAGGTTCTTTTAATCTCCCAGAATCCCCTGTGCATCCCTATACTACACAATTATCATGTATAATATCCCATTAATCATTCTACCCAGGAACGGGAATCGTAATCCTCACTGTCTCTTAGGCAGCTTCTCCAGTCCTGGTCGTCCTGGGTAATCCTCACTCAAGACCTCCCACCTTGATTTCTCCCCAGTTGTCAGGTAGTGGGGGAGGAAGGTGATGGCGGAGCCTTCCTCAGCTGCTCCCTGTAGAGTCCATGGCACCCTCATCCTCTCCTGAGTCCAACTGCTCACGAGCAGTCCCACAAAACCCTTCTTCCAAGCCGTCCTCTTTCTGTCCTTGGCGTTTCCTCCAGGGAAGAGGCTGCCCAAATTAGGCCGAGTGTGCCAGTGCTCCTGTTCCCACGCCTCACTCTCAATCACAGGCCAGTCAAACCAGTTTGGCAGCCCCACACATTGCCTACTGCATGGTGTGGTCATTTTCTGGTGTCTGTGTCAAGAGGGCCTTTGAATGAGGCAGAACCTCCAGGAGCAGGGCATCAAACTGAATCAACACCACGGTGCCACTGGCCCAGCAAATCCAGCAGCCCAGCTTTCCAGCCTGTGCCAAAAGGTTCTCTTGTGGTGCTGTATAGTTGACTGGAGAACGCTTTTAACTTAAGCTTACATTTCACCAGAGAAGTCTTGTCAAACCCCCATCACACCGCTCGATACGAACACAACATTGTGCGTACTCTACGACTGACGACTCCTTCGTTTTGAAAGCAGGGGGTGCGTTCTCTCAGCTTCAGTTAAATTTGTGCTGAACGCACTGCCGTCGTGTTTCACAGTTCGTGTCCGAAGGTGTTCAGGTGGACAGCTAAGGGCCGCGTGTGTTCGCAGGGGCGAGGGTCATCTTGGGGTGCAGGGACTTGACCAGAGCCAACAAGGCCGCGGAGGAGATCCGCCAGAACAGTGGCAATGGAAACGTGGTGGTGAAGCAGCTGGACCTTGCCTCGCTGCAGTCGGTGCGCCAGCTGGCTAAGGACATCCTGGAGAGCGAGGACAGACTGGACATCCTCATTAACAATGCAGGTCCGGGCATGTGTCCAGACGGGTCCGGGCTGTCTGTCTGGGTTGGCATGGGCTGTCATTCCGGTACAAGCTTGGCTCCAGAAAAAATGGACGTTTAAGAGGTGATCCAAATGCTGACTAGTTGAATCCCTATAACATGCTGAGGCTGTGGGCAGGCATATCATACTGCTTAGTTTATCCTCTTCACATGGTTCGTTTAACACAGACTTAAGACCTGTGTCTTCTAGGGGTTAGACAACTATATATAGAAAAAGAAATGGTTGGGTAGACAGACCCCTTTCTAAGAAATAATTTCGGGAGTGGAGCCCCTGATAAGAACAGGTAATGCAATGGGGTGGATGGATGGAATATCTTAAAGATGGCTGAATGGTTTCAGGCATCATGATGTGCCCTCAGTGGAAGACAAGGGACGGGTTTGAAATGCAGCTGGCTGTGAACCACCTGGGCCACTTCCTGCTCACAAACAGCCTGCTGGACCTGCTCAAGAAGTCTTCCCCGAGCCGCATCATCAACGTCTCCAGCCTCGCTCATGAGAAAGGTAAGGCGGAAAATATCTTCCTTCACCACGTAAGACCTTTGAGACAGTCCCGGTAGCATTTTCTAAATCAGTGTCATTTTTCTCTTTGGAAGCAGCTCTGTGAAATTTCTGTTGCAGGATGGTGTGCCAGACATATTTAAGAAGGAGACAGGAGTTGCAATCTTGGTTTTCGTTGTTGCCAAATGTTAACATTATGTCTGGGTTTACCAGAATGAAGCATGAGCAAGCTTTTCTCGTGCTGGCAGATTTCCTTTCTGCATGTACAGGGGTATCCTTTCCTGAGGAAAGGTGGAGCGACATGGGTCTCACAAACATCAGATGCTGCATTTGCATTCCTCCATCTTTGTGGTGTATTCAAAAACGCATGTTAAGGACTCGCAAACCAGTGTCTTAAAAAGTTTCTTGCGTCTTTATTCCCAAAGTTGCAGGGGTTTGATTTAAAGCGTGTCCGACGGATCTGAGCAAACCCACAGCTTCCTGCATTCCTGCTGCAGGTCAGATCAACTTTGACGACATCAACCTGGAAGCAAGCTACGATCCCGTGACGAGCTACAGACAGAGCAAGCTGGCCAACGTTCTGTTCACACGGGAGCTGGCCGCGCGCCTGAAAGGTGAGGGGTAAATCCCATGAGGGGTGATGGGGGGAGGCCCTGAAGGTGGTGCCTGAAAGAGGGTACCAAGGTGGTAGGAGTTTGGAGCAAGCCATGTGGTTGAAGAAGATACCCCAGCTTCTTTCCAGAAACAGCTAGATGAGATCCTTAGAACAGTGGTGGGCTGAACGGCCTCCTCTTTTGTGACCTTTTTTCGGTTCTTAGGGCTTTGACCTTTCGGTGTATTTGGTACACTCTCGCCTGGGATTGATCAGTGACTCTTTTCTGTAGGTACGGGAGTGACGGCAAACTGCCTGCACCCTGGAGTCATCCGCACCGAACTGGGGCGGCACTTGATGCCCACTATTCCAGTGTGGAAGAAGGTTGTATTCTTCCCATTTCTCCTCCTGGTCTTCAAGACTCCAAGACAGGGAGCTCAGACCACCATCCACTGCGCGGTGGATGAGGATCTGGAGGGCGTCACCGGTGTCTATTTCGCGTAAGAGGCACTAGAAAGACTCCCCACAGTTTAAGGCTTGGCTCACTTGGCATTTTGTGTTCCCATAGGGACGCACAGCGGCACATTGCTGCCTTGTAACATTGGGCCCCTGGGTTCAATTCTCATCCTGGGGTGCTGTCTGTATGGAGTTTGCATGTTCTCTTCTGGTTAATGTGGGTTTCCTCCGGGTGGTCTGGATTGCTCCACCAGTCCAAAACCATACTGGGAGGTTAGTTGGCCTCTGGGAAGACTGGTCCTGGTGTGAATGCGTGCATGTTTGTGCCTCTGTCTGAGTGTGCCTGGCGATGGACTGGCGTCCTGTCTGGGCTGTAACCTTTCTCGTGCGTGTTACTTGCAAGGACAGTCACTGGCTCCCCCGAGACCCTGAATAGGAAGAGGTGGTAAGAAAATGGATGGATCTATTCTTGTAACGCTGCTCTGTAGAGGTGAAAAGGATCCAATGCAGATGCAGGAGTCGCAGGGAGGTAAGTAAACGTGCCGAGCAAATCCAGGAGCTGAGTCGTAGTCCGAAGGCGAAGGTAGGTCGAGATCCGGTAAAGGCACTGGTGGCGAACAATCCAAAACGTGAGACAGAATCGTGGTCGAAAAGAGAGCTACAGGGTCAAATCCAAAACAGGCAATGATAGCAAACAATCCAAGGGGCGAGACGAGATCCGAAGTCCGAAGGCAAAAGGTGCAGGCAGAATTCCAGGAATGCAAAAGAGGGGTAAGAACGCTAGGCTGAGCAACAAGTAGAGAACTCAATACCGAGCAACGGGAATCAGGTAAGAATGGTATAAATAACCCGGCGTGCCGCACGGTAGAGCAATTGCAGGTGTGTTAACTCGTGCGGCGGCACTTGTTAGTAGTAATCCGCTGCTGGTGCTGATTGGCTCGCTTACGTGTTGATCTCAGCTGGCTGGTGGTCGTGACAATTCTCCTATTCAAGTGCCAATTTAAGTTGTTGAGAGTACTGTTTGTATAATTACTGTGTTATTATTATACAGTAAATGCCCTAAAATGAACTTCTATTACAAAAATTATAAAATGAAGCCAAGTTTAGTTTCTTAGTTTAGGTTGGTGAAATAAACATTAAAAGAATGCAATTCTATTAGAGGATGGAAATGTTATTAATTATTATGAAAATAACACTCTCATTTATGTTCTATTCGTCGGTACTGAGTGCTGAATATTTCATGCTTGTCATCCAGGCTTCAGTAAACTTGTGTAGACAGCCAAGCAGAGCCCAGATTGGAAAAGACACATTTCCTTTCCTTCTTAATGAATAGAATTTGTACAAGAGCCTGTTCTGAGTTTGCGAGCCCTGAGCTGGATGCAAACGAATCTGTCTCATCTTCGTCCCTGGGATTACAGACTGGGCCATGTGTATGACAAGCCAGTTTGTTCATTTCCCCCTGCAAGTGAATTGGGGATTCCTGTTTGCAGCACCTAACTGTGTGGTATGTTGTGCCAAGTGGAGGGACTGTGTTCTCGTTTCAGTGACTGCGCTCCTAAGGAAACAGCTCCCCAGGGCCAGGAGGATGAGGCTGCCAAGAGACTATGGGATCTCAGTGCCCAGATGGTTGGTCTATCCTGATGGAGCCCTGATGTACTCACTCCCCAAATCTGTTTGTTAAAAGCGTGGTAGTAAGTAGTCCTCTGCTGTATTTCAGGAGGATCTGCAAGTATTTTACACATTTTCTCCTCATATTCTGTTCAGCAGTTCTGCATGTTGCCTTTGCCTTTAAGGTCCTGATTAAACCGTTAATTTAATTGACGACCAGTAAAATAGGTGCAGCCCAGGGAGTTTAGAACATACAGTATAGCACCACCAGCTTCTTCTCCAGCAGGACAGATCAGAACTCCTCCATGCACAGCTGGACTTTATATTCTTCATGCTGAGAACAAGCTTTGAGTGTCTAGATGTTTCCCAATGTGCATTTGGTGTATACTGTAGCTGTTCTCTGATTGGCTGGCTGGAAAACTGGATTATGCGGAAACAAGAATGGGATAGGAAACTTTATGGCCACATCGAACATACAATCTTGTGTTGTGTCATCTGGTGTGCCTTGTGCCTGGGAAATATACATAGACATTGTAGCCGAATAATTGTACTTATCTAATATTTGTAGCTCAATTAATGAGGTTTGATTGCCTCTTTTTCAACTTTGATGAAACCTTCTATCTCTTCTCTGTATCTCTTTCTGACTTTTAGATGTGTGTGCCAGTGAACACTAATGGGATGTGTAAATTCAAACTTGAATAAATTTTTCCAGAATCCAAGTGTCAAGGCTTTACTTTGGTTTATGTGTGCTAAGGTTGATGTCTTCAAGGTTATGAAAATTTTATTTTAGCCTTGACTGTGTGGGGCAAACTGCCAGTTCTGGAAGACTGTTTTGCTCTAGCTGTGAGAAGGTGACAGGGTTAGTCAATTATTTGTAGAAGAGCCTAGCTGAGTATGTTGCTGAAAGCAGTAATGGATAGCCACAGTCCTCAAGGGACTAGGTTTCTGCAGGTTTAACAGGTGCTTTTGGCATTCTGGCACAGATGTTTGAATGGGGGTACCTTCTCAAGAACTTAAACATGCAGAGATCTGTTGTGAAACAAAATCTACGAGCCTACGATCCTCAAGTCCAAGTAGACAGGATTGTACCTGCTTTATTAATACAAAGAGATGCACCAAGCACGCTGTGAGAGCAGATGCAGTCTACGAGAGGGTTGATTTTTTACACTGCTGTACTAGCCTTGAGGGGAAAGTGTACCTCTTGTTTTGGGAGTGCCCTGGACAGCATCTGGGGTTAAACATCACAAAAATATAGTTTTGGATTGTTTTGTTTTTTTGTCTTCTGCTTACACACAAATTCCTTTTCTCACTGGCTCTCCTTACTTTAATTCTTTAATTTTGTATACGTTACCTGGCTTAAATCACAGATTTAAAACCGAGAAGTGTGCATTTTTAATCAAAAGCTGTCCAGCTCATTTTAAAGTACACCCTCTTATTAGATTATGACAAATCACAACATACTATAAATAATTAGTGGTTAGCTGGTAATAATTAACTGGTATTGTAATTAATCTACAATAAAACTAAGCACCTTGCTTTCCAATGCAGTGATTGTTAGCTGACACCTCACACAAAGTTTTATAGAACATTTATTCAAAATATACAGTATAATATATGAAGAAAGAGTACACCAAACTCTCTAAGGGTTTACCTTAAAGCACTGAATGGGTGTCTTACAGATACAGTATGTCTCACAGAAGCAGTAAAAGTGCGTATATTTACACCAGTGATCTAACTGATTCCAGTGTGTTTTTGTAAAGAAAAGTAGGAGAGATATAGTGCAACAGTTCTATGCATGAATATTATGCAATATTGAATAAGTAACAATACTGTATGATCTTTTGACTAGTAACAATAGTGAAGCCTAGATCTCACTCTAGATTTCTTTTTTTTGTTCAGAACATATACCTGTCTAATAGGTACTCTAAATTTTCTCCTCCTGGAAAGTCTGGAGTTCTACTAGACCTTTCTAACACTGTTTAAAGTTGGGGATCACAATTATAAGCCCTACATAGATAGATTCTGTATATAGATAAGTAATATACAGAACCCTGTTGGTTTCATACATTTTGTTTTCTTCTGTTTTAACTACCTCAGCTTATCATTTAATCTAGCATTTGAATAAAAAGCTTACTAACGCCCAATATTGTCATCACAGAAATAGAACAAAATTGTAAATAAAGCCACTGTGATTTGAAAGTGAAAAGTCTGCTTTGTTGCATATTTTTAAGAACTGAAACAAAAAATTAAAAAGACAACAGCTTCATCAGTTCCAGTATATTTGTTTTACCAGAAGGCACTACATACACATTGGTAACAAAGGCTTCAAGCCTTGTTTTCAACAGAGCTACAGTGTTAAAGAAGATCAAACAAGAATATTTGCTTCCAACTAGTTTCTTTAAGTTTTGCAAACTACACAAAACACCATGGGAATTTGTTAGCCACACAAAAAACTAATTGGACTTTCTAGAATTGTCCTCCAATGATACATTTCTGTGCTGTTTTGAATGAATTATTGCAAATCTAAGTAGCCTTTTTTGTGTAAATGTGAAATAAAGTAATACTTTAAAAAAGGCAGTACAATGCTGTAAGAGGACTGGCTATGTGGGTTTCGTACCCACAGTGATTTCTCTTTTACTGCCCTGGTAACATCCCTGCATATCACAAGGAAGACAAGACAGTGGGTAACAAAATGACCTCATGAGCGGCCATATTTCTTAGGTGAGCAACAGAAAAACTTGAAAACTAAAAGGAAATGTCAGTGAAGTAAAACAAATTCTTTCAATCTTTTTGTTGATATACATTAAATACAGTTACAGCTTCATCATTGATACCCAGGACTGGAAGATAAACTGAAAACAACATTTCTGGCCTCGCCACTTTTACCCAGTTCAGAACTGACCTGATTTTACATCTTTTCAAACAGAAGGCATGTGTGTTTGTGAGGAAGTTAAAGCTTTAAATATTAACAAATTTTTCTTCAGATTTTTCTTCAGAAAAATCAGACAGAAAGAGAAATCCATTCATTTATGATGTCTGGGTGAATATGAAACAAATACCTCAGTGATCTGGTACCTTTGTGTCATTTTCTTTTGCAATGAATTCACTCCTTTTACTCTAATTTGTCTTGTTTACTCTAATTTTGTTGTCAGTACAAAGAAACAATCTGTATTATCCACACTGTTGGGCGTGGAACTAGTCAAAGCAAGCTAGGGTGTAATTTTTAAGTACTACAACACTTCAACAGCAACTAGGAATGACCACTTTATCAATCCTAATGACACGATGAAACAAGTGAAAACATCTCAAACTCAATGCACTCTTATACATTTAAAAACTGTCATATTCCAGTTCACGATCAATATTTGGAGATTTTTTAAATTACCCTTTGAAGCTCATAACCTCTGTGAAACAGCTTGCCTCCTTAGGGTTCGCATTCGATTTCTTAATTACCAAATATGACCAGAACTGGTTCATCTGTCTTATTTATTTTACATTTCTTAGTTTCCTTTGGATGAAGCCAATTTCTCCCCACATTAAGCTTCACAGCACATGAAGGCTTGCTTCATGCTTATGTTTTTCCTTATCTGGGACCTGAGTCTGTTAGCTTCAACCACTGGCTGTACGATGTACAGGACCCAGTTGGTAATACACAGTCCTGCTCTGGCAGTTGTCGATAGAGTTTGCATTGATTCAGACTGATGGACCATTGGGTTTTCGTCAAACAAGGCCTCAAATGATCATTCAGATTTCCACCATCCATCTGGCCTTCCATATATGTTTTAAAACAGAATGATAAAGCTCAGTACTTCAAAGAGTGTGTTCTACACACTTCTGAGAGTTCCCAGGTGAGCACTGTCCTCAAGGGTCCTTCTGTCACCTCACAAATCCACCATTACATTCAGAAACATTTCCTAATATTTGATAAGGCTTGGGGTTTAATACTGGGCACAAGAACACATCACTAAGGAGTGAATCCTGCACCCTTGACACACTGTCTTTATTCCTTCCAGTTGTTTGGGCCAGGCTGCTCTTGAAGCACAGGGCTCGACGGAAAGAACATGATCTGAAAGGACAAAGAAGCAGGTGGGAGGTTTCACACCAGGCAGATATGCTTTTCATGTGTCCAAAACAATGAGAACGAAGAACCGTGGCGTCCCTTCATTGATTGGCTACTTCTTCGAAATCGGAAAGCTGTTTCATTTGCTCAACTTGCATAGAATGCCTTCTTATGAGCTTCTTTTTGGCCTTCAGATCGTTTCTCTTTGGTGAGCTAGGTGCTACAGGAACCATTGACCTGACGCAGGTGGCGAGAGGCGAGGAGGGCTTGCTGCTCGCCCCAATGTCAGGGATGGGGGGGTTGGGGTTGACGTTCAGAGGTGGTAGGTACCCCGGGCGGGTGTGGGATATGTGGTCCATCAGCAAAGTCCCGGATCCTCGTCTCTCCAGGAGTGCCGGGGCCCTGCGGCGGGCCGTGCTCGGAGACGTGCTGGGAATGCTGTCCAGGGACTCCCGGGAGCTTGTCAGCAGCGTTAGCGGAGATGTATTGTGTTTACGCCTCTCTGGGGGAACCTTGGCTGAATCGAGTGGGCCGGAGGCTGAATCTGAGTACAGCTGGGAGTCTGAGTCATAATGGTCATTGCCCAGGCGTCTCCTGTACACGGTATCCCTCAAGCTTGGTGGGCCGCTGGCGGGACCGCCGTTGTCTTGATCCGTGGGCACAGTGCTACGCCGTGCCAAGGGCTGATGCTTCTCGTAAGAGGTCTTCCGAGAGGCCGGCGCCGATGAGGTGGACGTCATCTTCGCGGGCTGCTCCGCCACCGAGGGAAAAGCGGGGGCCCCCTCTTTGCTCTCCACGCTGCTGTGCCGTGACAGGGGCGCCCTCTTCGGAAGAGACAGCCCGTTCATGGCCGCAACGACGTCCTCATCGGAGGCGGCCCGCCTGGCTTCCTCGTACGCCGCGGCGGCCAGGACGGAGGGGGCGATCAGCCCCCAGGGCTCGGACTGCAGCCGCTTCAGCTGGGGCAGCCGCGCGCGCTTGGGGTTACAGGGCTTCTTCGTAGGGGAGAGGGGCTCGGCGGGCAGCTTGGCGGCGGCCGCGGAGCCCGCAGTCCCGCCCCCCGGCGACCTTTTCGCCTGGAAGCTGAAGACAGTTTCGTGCGGCTTCTCGCTGCCGGGGGCCGGTGACGTTTTGAGGTCGATATCGGAGGGGGAGGCGCACAGGGCCGGGGAGTAGCGCTCCTCCAGTTCTGGGGACGGGGGCACGTTCAGATACTGCTTGGTGGTTTTGGTCCCGGACGGTGACTTGTCGGTGGTTATAATGATGACCTCCTTGCCCTTGGCCTTGCAGGCGTCCAGAAGGAGCCTGAGCGTCTCTTTGTCATCAGCGTTGATGCCGTAGACCAGCGCCGAGGCTCCAGAGCGGTCCTCCAGGCTGGGGTCGGCGCCGTTCGCCAGCAGTAGGGCCACGACCTCGTGGCCCGCCCTCTCGCTGCAGGCGTGCATCAGGGCCGTCTTCCCTGTCTTGTCCTGGATGTTGGGGTCGGCCTTGTTCTCCAGCAGGTACTTGACCATCTTGGCCTTGCTGACGCTCTGCTGGTCCGCGTGTCTGGACATGCAGGCGATCATCAGCGGGGTCTCCCCCCGCTCGTTGCTCTCGTTGATGTAGGCGCCCCCCTCCAGCAGCAGGCGGGTCAGCCTCAGCCTGCGGAGCCACACGGCCTTCAGCAGCGAGTTCCCGTCCGTCCGCACCTCCATCACGTCCTCCATGGTGCAGGCGAGCGCTGGGCGCTCCTCTTCAGCCCGAGGAGGAAATCGCAGACCTGCAGACAGTAAAACACAGCGTGGATTGGAAAACAGTGCCACGGACGAGAAAAAAAAGCCATCCGTTTAAATATAGTACATGAATGTACAGATGTGCATTGAATTTTCTTACTTCCTTGCTTGTTTCTATGCTTTGTGATCCTTGTGCATCTGTGTCTAACTCCATTGAAATGAACACCAGCAGCCATATCACCCTGCAACTCACAACTGGCAACCCACTGGAGCTCAGCAGGTGTGAGCCTGGTCAGTACCTGGATGGGAGACCTCCTGGGAAAAACTAAGGTTGCTGCTGGAAGAGGTGTTAGTGGGGCCAGCAGGGGGCCCTCACCCTGTGGTCTGTGTGAGTCCTAATGCCCCAGTGTATAATGACAGGGACACTATACTGTAAAAAGGCTCTGTTCTTCAGATGAGACATAAAACCGAGGCTCTGAATCTCTGTTGTGTCTCTTGAAAGGAGTAGGGGTGTAACCCCGGTGTCTTGGCCAAATTTCCCATTGGCCTTTACCAATCATGGTCTCCTAATAATTCCCAGACATGTATTGGATCATCACTCTGTTCTCATCTCTAGCTGGTGTGTGGTGAGAGTACTGTGTGCACTATGGCTGCCTACACATCATCCAGGTGGGGCTACACATTGCTAGTGGTGGAGGGGATCTCCATTACCTGTAAAGCGCTTTGAGGGGAGTGTCCAGAAAAGAGCCATATAAGTGTTTTATTATTTATTTTTCTGTTCCAGTCTCAGAACTTGAACACAGGACATGTTTGTATTTGATTATCCCCACCAGAGGGCGCTACATGTACGGAAGACAATCGGTAAAACTCCGAGTGACAGAAGAAATTGCAAATTTTTTCTACACATTCAAATTCTGTGCTTGGCTATTCCTGCCAAGCCAAACTTTTTTTCACAGATTACGGAAAGAATAATGTATACAGTGTCGCCGGGAAAAAGACGAGTGTTGTCGGGATTATCGATTTTGAAGCCAATAGCCACCGTCTCTCGCCGCTGCCTCATTTTAAAGACCTTTTCTTGTTTGTCTATTTGTATAAAAAAGGTTTATTATCACGGTTTCCCCAGAAATGTGCATGAAGGTTCGTTTTAGCCGTTTGATTTAAATCTATGATTATATACATTGCTTAATAGTGTTCTGTAATTTTTTTAAGAGTAGAGAGGAGAGATTTAATTTTGTCGGCTCCTGCATTTTGGACATGTAATGTGTGCATTTTAGGACATTAAACCCAACGTTTCCAAACATTATTTAAGTATAATACTACCTTAGGTTTTTTAAATAATTGGGGTAACATTATTATTGCATCGATGCAACGGTCATGTGCCACCTACGCGTTTCCAAGTCTAATTGCTCTTAACTAATACTAATTGCGGTTATCGAAAAATCTGGTTGATTAAAATAAAAGAAAAGCATTTTAGTTCGCCACGATAGAAATGTAAACTTTTTAAAATCATCTTTCTTGTCAACCCACCATTAGACCGTGTGTCGAAGACACACCTGTTGACTTCGTGTTTCTGTATCTTTTATTGAAATCAGCAGAATAAAATTAACATCTCAGATACACATTTTAAACTGCGCGTCTCTTGCGACACCATTAGAAACGACACAGCACCATTTTAAAGTTAAGTTTCCTAAATCAATTAAAGCAAATATTTTTTAGAGCAGTGCTTGATTGATTACGATATGAAATTTGAAATATTAACCTAACCCGCTCTTTCAAAAAAATGCTCATCGCTTACATATGCATACATTTTCCAAGCCCAGCTGAATATCACAATGTACCTATTTATAGGTGTGAGAGCTGCTTTGCCGCTCAGCTCTCTTGAAGAGAGAGGCTCCGCTGTCCATGGTTCTCAAGTGCAATCGTCTACGTTTTCGCAGAGAATGTGACGGTGTTCGGTCCTACAGCACAACTTAATTCAGGCACACCTGCTTATTTCCTTCAAGGTTCAATACCTATTCATCCCCTACCGTAAACTATTGTTTACTATGAAAAATAATACTATGGAGATACATTTGCTCGATTCTATTTAATTACATTTGAGATATAGATTGTTCGATCCTTACAATACCTGATGTGGTTCTTTTTAATCTATTACTTTCACGTGTGGATACTCACGTTTAAAACTTTCTAAATACGCCTAAATTTGAAAAAAAAAATGTTTATCAGACCTAGTTCTTACAAACGACACTATAGGTCTTGGGTTTAAGACATTCTGTAGCACGTAAATTCTAAAGCCAAAGACGAGACAGGCAAATCTCATGTAGCCGATATCAAGAAAATGGCATACGTCCTAATTATAATTTTGGAAGTCCTCTATTTCTGTATATTTAACATATCTATTACCATCATCCTACACTGGAGCACATTCCCTAAATTTATTAAGTGTGTAAATTACAAGAGAAGAATACAGGGTAACTGATATTAAGAAAAGGAGAACAAAACGGCTTCATGTGAATGAACCATCAGATAATCAATTCTTCGAACTTTGCTACAGTGATTAGCCGATAAGCCAGAATCCAAAGGCTGACACATACGGGCTAGTTAAATGTATATTCAATACATCACTCGGGAACTTGCGGTCATTTAAACTCGATCGCGTCCAGCACGATCTTACCTTTCAGAAATCAGTGTTCTGAAAGTCCAGGTGCCCATGAAGACCAACATCGTTCCATGCTGGACGAAGACAGTGTGATCTGCTCAAGGTGCAAGACGATTGTTTGAAAAGAAAAAAAGCCTCCAATGCAAGTCGGTGCCATTGAATTCCTTTCTGAGTTTCTTCTTCAACAGCCTGGCGCCAATAAAAAGCCCGAGAAATCCTATTTTTGGTAAAACTCTAACGTGCTGGCACTTTGAGCGCTTAAGACCAGCAGCTTCGCTTTCGTTATGGCAACGCAATTGATCAAGCCAATAGCTGCATTCCCTTTTACACACACTGGAAATAACACACACACACACATAACCCCAAGATGCCGGGTTTATAAATAACATTTTAACTTGGTGAATGAAACGTGCATGTCATTGACGTCACTATTTTTAAAAATAACCTCTATGTCCGGTATTTTTTCATTATTTGTCATGAACGGAAAACAGAGGAACACAATTTCAACTTGTCATTCCTATAGCCCAGAGATGACCAACCCAGGTCCCTGAGAGACGTATTTCAGCACGTAAATGTATACAGTGCGTTTTGATATCATTTGCATGTTAACTGGTTCGATAATGTCTGGAATGGCCAGCTGTGGTTTCTCGAGAGTTGTGGTTCAAATGATCTCTGATCTCCTTAATTGTACAAGTCACCTTCCCCAGTAGTCTTAAGAAATTGATGATTTAAGGGTTACGAAGTGATCTGTAAATCCTGGCGGATTGTAGATCTTCAGGACCACGGACAGCAAACTCTGCTGGAAAGATAAACTGTAGATAATGATTTTACAAACGAACTGCAAAATTGAAGACTTCATACAACGTAGAAAATATAAAACGGATGGAGCATATATATTAATGTGATCATACAGGACCTTACAGAAGACGCATTTGAGTCTGACAGTTGATTTTATTGTATTATTATATGATGATATAAAGGCAAATGAGACACTCACCACCATTTTATTTATTTATTTGTATGACTTCTACAACTTACATCATATTACTGAAGTCAATTGCAATTCAGTTAGGGAGATATTTTTATTTGTAGGGAAATTTCAACAATTACTACACCCGAGGGAAAAAAATATCCTGCGCAATGTTATGCCCTAATAACAACCTGCATCTTACGTCTTTATATTTCATAGTCTGTGCGTGTGTATGGTAACAATCAAAAATTAAATAAATACATAACGTTACCGGCACCATCAACTACAAACTTGAAAACATCTTAGAGTGAACTAGAGCAGAACAGCAAAAAGAGCATAATCTTCTGCAGTGAAATGGCAAACATTTCTGTTGTCCTACTTGACTGCCTTACTTGCCTTTCATTGGGCCTGAACTGTACGTTTTAGCTCCTGCGTGTCTAATAATGCTAAACTCATAGCCGTTGAGGAGCAATGCTTTGCGTCACAGGAGGTAAGGTAAGAAACGCGAGCTTCTGACGTCATGTTTCCGCTAGCTTGGCGCGGTCTCGGGGAGATGACGTATTGCGTGACGCCTTTAGGTTTCTTAGTAGGTACTTCTTATTGCTTATGCTTTAAATGGCTGAATTATCCTAGATTCAATTCTGGCAGGATCGCATTGTCTCATTTGTCCGAGGAGTTTCTATGCAGTTTCTTGCCTCGGAATTACCGAGTTAAAAGTATTTGAATAATTTAACTAATGACATCAACCTCAGTCTAGGACTAGTTTTCAACACCTTTCATCTCCCTCACCTGTCATCTGTTTTTTGGGGTTAAGAAACCGCAGTTTTACACATTGAAACTTGTAGCGGACCATTTGGTGTCGCGCGTCCACGTGAACCATCATATCCTATAGAGTGAGCGGAGACACTAAACCAAGGTCCTGACTGCTATCTCATTAAAGATCCCAAGGTGCTTTTCGAAAGTGTAACAATATTACTTCATTAGAGTGTGTTGACTCTGGCCTCTAAAACCCTTCCTTAAATGATATAGCAGTTTCTCAATAACACACTCGAGCTGAAGGGGGCTGCCGGCTCAGAATGGTTGGTGCGCTTTTGGGAACTTCTGGGATGCAAATTGCATGTCTGCAGAGCAGTATTTTATGATTGTAGTTACAGTGTCTTGATGCAAGTGACAGCAACTTCTTTGTTTTTTTTCCCACGTTTTACAGTACATTCATAGTATCTTGTAGCGTGTGAAATGCTTCCTTGTCGTAGTTTTAAAAACACTTGGAATTTTAGAACCCAAAACACGCAGTCGTCTCCGCTGAAGACTTAATAAGATTCAGTTGTTTTCACCGGACTTATGTGACGAGAAAATTAGAACCCACTGAAATTCGTTGTGTTGCTTCCAGAGAAATTAATCGTTTTTACCACCATGAACAACTATGAATTACTGTGAAAGTTAAATGAGAACGACTCTCTGCTTTTACCACCTTTTAATAAAGAGTCAATAATTATCACCTCGAGGCGCCATGGCAACCATGTCAACACATTGGGCTGTCTTTTTTGAATATTTATTAGCGTCGAGCTGTCAAAAATTAAGCTATGGCTACCTTCTTAACATTTATATTGAAAAATGCAAGTATAACCTATCAATAAAATACATATTTTCAGTATAAAACCCATTATTCTAATGGTGGAAATCATTAGTGCTTTTCACCTAGTAAGTCTGAGTCTCGATTTATCTGGAATTTTGTTTTTTTATTCCAGTGATTTCCTTTTCTCTTATTTTGTCAAGTTAACAGAACCTTAAGTAGATACCTTCAGAAATGTAATTTCTCATTTACTTTGCTTCTGTTTTGTAAAAAAAAATTGATGGATCACAGAAAAATTGCAAATATAGCTCACCCAGGTGTCTTATACGAAGGAAATCTATTTTCTGTCATTCTGGAAAATAAAGCTAGTTCGCAGACTGTAGTTATTTTGAAGGGTTCAAATATATGGTCATTTTTGACTGGGAAAAAGCTGTAATAGTGCATATGATTAAGATATCAAAATGTATTTAACCAGATACGACAGTTGAGATCAAACTTTCATTTCCAGCTATGAAACCATTATTGCACTGAAAACAGGACAGTGAAAGAAATAATCAATACAATGTACATAAAATAATAGGATGAGGCATTATTCACCACTTACTCTGATGGGAGAACTTTATGTATTAATATACGTCATGTATTAATTATAAGAAAAATCTTGTGAATAAGTTATATGGAAACCTATTTATCCATTCTTCTGTTTCTTTCCTGTGGCTGTCTTACTGTCACTTGGTTATCATATCTTTTGCTAAATGGTTATCAAATTTATATACAAGGATCATCACATTTTTCTTCCCACTCAAACATCAAATCAAGTTTTGTACATGGAAAAACTATCTGTGCTCATCCAGCACGGAGCAGAAACACGCAAACCGCATGTGATGGATGCATGTTTCTTCCCTTTAATAATGGCGTCTTGATTTATCGCTTTCTGCTTCGGCAATTTTCAAAAATGTCATTCCTTTGTGCGTTATTGGTCCCGACGGCTGACTAAGAGTGCCCTGATGTGCTATATCAATCGCAGAGGGAATGTGCAGAATAATCTCGCCACATGGGGATTGCTACATGAGTCACACTCTGTAAAATGATTTGCCATGCACAGAACTCATGCTGCATCTCCTGTGGAAAGTAACTTGTGAGTAATATGGTGAGGAAGCTTTCTATCTCCCATATCTTTTTTGTGTTTTCTTCCTTTTCAGGGCAAAGCTACAGAACAGACTACAGTCTGCTCCACCTTTGTCAGAAATCCAGCCTCCATCATCAGGTATGAATACAGCATGTGGTTACCAGCATCAGATGGAAGGAATTCTAGTGTGTTTACAGTTTCCAGTTTTGCTCTTGAGCAGAGAATTAGGCGCATATTAAATACAAATTGAGGCCTGCCAAACAACATGTAAATTCACAGTTCTGCAGCTTGATGGCAGGTTACCATTAAGAAGGAGTAAGAGGCTTCTAAAAGTCTGCCATCAATGACTAGATTTGTAAGTTCCGGTTATCTGACGAGTCAAAACTTTGATTTCAGTCGTGCTTTAGTGAGTAAGTGCCAATTAGGGTTTTATCAGGAACATCTTCTCAAAGCAAAGAGTCAACAAAATCATTACCAAAATCTTTCTGACTGTTTTAGAGGTAGGATGTGGATTTCTGCACCCAGTTTCAGCCTACCTTTATCTGTGTCCCTGTATATGTGGACTAAGAAATGTACTGTTGGTACTACAGTCCAAACTGTAACATAGCATTGTCACAGATCTCTGGGCGATACTGTGTATACAAGGATTCTGCATGATATGTCACAAAGGAATATTGTAGCCCCCCCTTCAGGGGAAATGTACTGTGCCAGCCTGGTGAATCTGCCAAGACAAAGCATACAGTACAGTACCACATTCCCTCTGGATATTTAAAGGGAATGAACTGAACAGTGCAAGAGATATGCATGTAATGTCTTTCACCAGTTTCTAACATAGTGTTCTTTTAGGATGACATGGTTGTCTGCTTTAACTAGTCAATCTTGAAATTCTTATATGTCCAAGAGAAAATATTGCAGGTGATCCCGGGGGTTGCCAAAATAAAATTATAACTGTAGAAAACAAAGAGCCAATCTGACAACTATGGTGATTCATTATATAGCCCGTAAATTCTGAAGCACCAATCTATAGACGTACCTTACATCTAAAAGTGCTGGAGATTAGACATGGCTGCCAAGGTCCTTTAGTACTGTATTTTTATTTATTAGATTGATTTTCTGAGGATGATCTCTCCACTTTAATAGATCAACAACATTTTATAGATTTCGGGGAATCAAAGATTCCCACTGCATAGCAAATTAATCTCTCTCATTTCTCTTTCCATCAATGAGCCATTGTACAAATTCTGCTAATCACAATTAACAAATAATATATGTTTTGTACTGCTTGATTTTTAAGAACACCTAAAGATATAATAAATCCATGAGAGCAGGCAGATTGAGAAACCTTAAAAAGGATCCAATGTGCAGTACAGCTGTTGAGAGAAAAGATGAGGATTTATAATTATTGAGAATATTATTATCAACTTCTGTTCACATTGTTGGAATTGTGGCTGTTGTGCAAAAGGCACCGGGAAACATCAGGCAAAATAGACTTCAAGAAAGAGTAATAGGGAAACTAGGGGTCTTAGTGTTAGATCTTAACACTCAGTGTGTGTTTTTGTTTTTCCAGGGGAAAAGGGTCTGGGATACTTTTTTTGCAATGCATATTTGCATTAATCAATGCCAACCTTTTCTTATCGCTTATTGCATTGTGTATATTTATGCTGAGATGCAATTAGACCTAAGTATATAGGTGTATAGATGTTCCCTGCACTGTTTTGACTAGAAATGCTTATCTTCATTTGTCGTTCAAAATGTCCTAGCCTTCCAAAAAGTGGAAATCTGTCTTTTCAACACAAAAGAAATAAAACGTCTTCTTGGCATAATAGCAACAGAGACTAAAAAGAACTGAACCATGGCACTTTCTTATTTTTAGGTTGCTATGGAACAGCAGTGAAGAAAGCACTGACAGTAGCAGAAGAGCTCTAGGTTTTGTGAAGTACAGGTAATTAAAACCCTATCCTAGCCTTTTTTGAAATTTCCTCACAGGTCAAATGCACAGATTCTACTGGGTCATGAACGTGAGCAGAGGTTCAATACTGTGTCCACGTAACAGCATTGTAAATTTGTCCGTCTCTATTATTCCAGGGCCACATTTTTTTAAGTACCTGCGGTTGTAATTAGATGACAGGATTATTGTTTTCAAACAGCCTTGAGCAGAGCCTGTCTCATCTGTGCCAGGCAGCTCTGGCATTTGGAGCAGGTAGATATCTCCTGTATTGAAAATCCAAGAGTATAATCAGCCTCTGTTTACATACAGCAAGTGGGTTGAGCTGCAGATTAATATTGCAAGCCATGCTTGTTTCGCTATGCGGAAGAATGTAAGATGTCATTCTGTGATGCTCGCACATCTTGGGAGAAATTAAACACGGGAGCAAAGATACCCTTGTGAAACGACAGTGGTCAGTAGACTTGTGAGAAATGTCTCTTGAGGATGAACCAAACAATGGTGGATGTGTTGTAATCTACCCAAACTACTAAGTAGTTGCATAAAGAACTGACGTGCAGAGCTTTAGTGCACATAAAGCAGAAAAGGATAGGGAAGGCAGAATAGCAAATGACAAAGTATGATAAAACTGGCATTACAGAGAAAATATCCCATTGGCAAAAACAGAAATTAATACATTTAATGAAATCAGAGTAAATGCCAAACTCAAAGAAGGTAAAGACAAAGATGACTGAAAAATAACAAATCTGACTTACTTCGGTTCATGAGGGAGTCTAGCTCAGATTGGTACCTGATGACCCAGGATCAAGTGAATTGTAATCTTGCAGTTTGCTCAAGGCCTTTGCCAGGTCTTATTCCACCTGCCTTATCGTCTGTGTCAAGTGCTTATTTTCATTTCCTGCCGTGCTCCAGCTCTGTGCCTGGCTGCGGGTGAGGGAGGACAGCAGCAAGGAGGAAAATGTGAGGACATCTGTGTGCATAGTTCGTGACTGTCAGGGTGTTTTTAGGTTCTGAGTTCTGAATTTATTTTACCAGCCCCATACCTTCATTAGTGAGAGGTATTCATCGAGCAGACCCTTTGCTTGTACCAAAGTTAGTAAAGTTAGTCAAAGGTAAAGTTGTAAAGTTAAAGGTCAAATCAAGTTAGTTTAGACCAAATTATACTTTATTTCAGAGTACTGACAAAAGACGTGCATTTGTTAAGAGGAAAGGGGGAAGGCAGGGGCCATTACACAGTGTCTAATGCTGTGAGTGTGTATCTTGTGTATTTTTATAACACTAATTAAGATTCAGGCCAGTTCACAGGAACAATTGCTACAGATTGTCCGACGGACTGTATTGTGAAAAACAGTGCTGTGTTTTTGCATAATTTTGGGAGTGTAGTGTACTGTTAAACCAAAAGAGATGCAGCTAACTCACAAAGCAAGACCAACGTGTTTCTATCAATCTGCAAGCAATACAATTATATTAAGGGATATCTTACTGTTTGCATAATGCACATATCTTACACAGTTGTCAGAGCATTGGTGTAGTAGGATGTTCTATTACATGGTGTCACCTGTTTCTTTCTTAGAGGGACAGCCTTGGGCAATTATAAAATTAGCTCTTGAATATGGACATGATGCCAGATTCATATTACATTAGTAATGTGCCAAGATGGCTGTTACTGAAACAGGCCATACAATAGCATTACCAGATACTTTATGTGTGTCTGGCTTAAAAAAAAATTCAAGCAATTAATTTGTACTTAATTATCATTCTCTAACTGACATGAGGTCTTGAGCTTTAAAATTATCTTCCGGTGATAATGCCTATAATTTTATGTGCTGTGCTGCGTTTTTTTTTTGTCCCTGGTGTCAATGCTCGTCTGTTGCATAATTGGAAAGGGAGCTTGCAATTCATATGGATAAAATAGGCTTTGGCTTCATTAGTATGGAGGGTCATTCATTTGGTGCATTAATTTCACTCCGGTGCAACGGGTGGTGAAGATGCTTTTGTATCGATGTTTAGAAGAAAATGTCCTTATAAAATCCTTCAAAGGGGTGCTTCTGAGGATAGAACAGAGACCAGGTTACACAAGGTTTCTCTTTTGTTGGAATGAGACTTTCTGGCCTTCTTTAAAAGCAGGGCAGACTGATATATTGTGTAGCAGACTGTGCACTCATTACTTGACAGACTGCAAGTAGTTGATTTGTCTTCTTTCATTGGTGCTGCTTGTTTTCCAGAGACTTTAAAGAAAAAAATGCGAAGAAAAGTTTCAGCAAAACAGAACAAAAGTACACAGTACTTTGCTATAATTTTAAGGAATAAACATCTTTACATATATATATCTTTACATCCATGTCCTGCGAGTTTCGGCATGTACTCTGCTGTGTAAAAGTATTACACACAGTCAGGAATGGCAATCTATGTACAGTACTTTATGAGTATCATTAATTTACTTAAAGCCTCTACTAGTGTTTTCTGCTAATACATCAGTTTGACTGTTATTAATACAGCCTAGTTTAAGTGAAAATAAACCAATCTTGTCATTTAGCAATTCTTCATTCTCATTGATTAAAACACCTCAAGGTAACTGATCCAAGAAGAGCCAATATGAAGTGTTGCAGTTGCTAATCCATCATTTACCAATCAAATCTCATTGACTCAGTGTCAGACGGTCCATATCATTAACATAATTTCTTTCTCTCTATACATTCATAATGCATCCTTCTTTTTGTGCTGCAAAGTACAGATCTTTACTACCGATAGTTATTGTCAACATACAACTAAAATAGCTAAAACTTCAGTATTAAATCAAATAATTATTTCTGCATAAAAAGGGAAAACTGAGTAAGAAAAGTAGAACAATACAGAATGTCTAAAGCAGTGTAGATACAGTATATACAGTACCTAGCGCTATTTAAATGAGCATCTCCCAGAACAGTAAAAATACTGTAGAGGTAACGGACAGTTTCCCCACAATAATTTTAAGTCCCGTGCTATTGTTATTTTTCTGCTATATGATCCTTTTGCAATACGTCCTGACTGAACTACAAAGCTGGAAAATGTACAGAATATGTTTTATATTTGGTGCTTTGTGGCATTGGTATTGTTGATTGTATGAAATACAGAATCACAGTTAAGAGGCAGGTCTATTAAAAGTGGATTATAAGTGATGGACATTGAGTAAGAACACGAGACAGAATTAATGGGCGAAGAGAAAATTAAAATGATGTTTGGTGTTTGTTTTGAATCACTGTCTAAATATGAAAATTGGCCCTTTTGGAAATCAACACTGACCCCACGTGATGTATGAGTGACACCGTGCTGGTAATGTCATAGGTAGGATTTCAGACTGCAGTTCATAAAAGAGACTCACCAGAGCTGCAGAGCCCTGCTTCTATAACACTCAACAACAGATACATTCATTAGCAGAACTCCAAAACAGCTTTGGCTGTGTGGCAGCTTTGCATAATAATACTGTCATCTGCAGTGCATAAATACATCCGAAAAATAAGCTTTCTCACTCTTGGGAACTGTTTCCCATATTTTCATTTTCTGAAATCTTTTATTGCACCTGCTGTACTTCTTATTTCTAAATATAACCTTTTCCTCCTCACCTCTGACAAATTCGGTGTGAGTTTTCTTGATGGACTGAAGTGAAATGTCGCTATAATTAGATATTTTTCAAAGCAGTGGCAAAACATTTTTTTATAATTCAAAAGGCTTAATTAGATTTTTTTTCCCCTGAAGAGTTCTGGAGCTTTTTGTGCATAGGACAACACTCTTACCATGACACAAAGCATGAGCCTGAAGTTCCCCAGTTACTAAAATGTGCAGACAAGTCCAATTAAATGTGAATAGTTTCTGATTGCAACATTTGTAGAAAAGGTGTTTGATGTTGAACATTTATTTTAGTGAGGATGAATATATGAATATCAGGGCTTGATTTTCACTCCTGGGTGGGTCACAGAGGTGTTCATTTATGGAGAAATGTTCTTGTCCCCAAGTTCTGGTTAGGGTCTTTGAATCCATTGAAATACAGCTGTGTTATTATTTAGCTCAGTTTATTTAATCTACTTCCACGAGTGAGAAAGGATGTTAAATTTGAATAAATCTTGCAGTAGCTTGCGGGTCATGGAAAGGTTGTGATGACTGTCACCACCAATGTGGAAATAAGCTTGGGAGGCCAGCCAGTATGTACAAGAAAAGGTACTGCATGCAGGTCGTGGGATAGAAGATGTCCTGGAGGTTCGATGCAAAGTGTTTGAAAGAGATGTCCTTTGCAATGGAGGGTGAATATCGTTCATGAGCTGGGATCCACACACACTCTGGCAGGAAGTGCCGGTGTTGTCTCAGAAGATACCTGTCCATGCACTGCGTACTACGATCGTGGATGTCACGATCGTCATCCCTCCTCTAGAGGGCGCTCTGACCCTTTTTTGTATTTTAGTTTCATTATCACTTTCACCTGCTCCTTGTCCCGTGTGTATTTTTTAAACCTGTGCCTCTGGAGCTCTGCGGTCAGTATTGGAAGATGGACGCCACAAGGCCTGCCTATTCCCTGGCCTCGCGTGTAGCCCGAGGGCAGGTCTTATTCCCCGGCGACTTGACCATATGGGTCTGGGGCTCGGAGCACCCGGCTCCATTATGTTTTTAACTTCCTAGTTCCTGATTGCTTGTCCCCCATTCCTGTCTTTGTTTGGATGGATTTCCCCTTTCAGATTGTTTTGGACTTGTTCGCCTGCTACGCCCCCAGAGCACCAGAACACTGCCGTCACGCCCCCCAGTCAGTCACCCCGTCCTGATCCTGCCATGTTTCCCCGTTACCCTTCTCCAGTCTCCTACAGTCTACGGTCCTAAATACGCACTACATGGGAGTGTGAACTGGCTCCCGTTACAATGGTGAGATCTTTTCAGCTCTCTCATTTTGCTTCCTCATTCTTTGATTTTATGGATTAAAGCGTTGTGCTTCTTTCCGTTCAGTTGAAGAGTTCAGGAGCCATCATGTTCCA